GTTGAGACTCTGTACTCTGCTTTACTTAGCACAGGAATGATGTACACTACACAGGGGCTTTTTTAGGTGGAAAAAAGGTAGTACATATGGCGTTTTATTGTTTCTGTTGTTGTCTGTTTTAGGGGAGCTGGGGAATGTATCTAACCAAGGCTGCAAGTCTACGAAGCACATACTCAAAAACATGACCAAACAAAACAAGGCAGCAAACACAGCCTTCCACTGAGTGACAGGCCAGCCCAGTGCAGCATTACAGAGCAGGAAGACGAGAGAGATTCAAAACCCAGATTTTAATAGTTTCAATTAAACTTTAATGTTCCTGAGCCTTAATTTCTTTCCCTATAGAAAGGAACATTATGGGCTAGTGAGATGGCTCAGCAGGTAGCAGTGCTCATCTTGTGTAATGACTACTTGTGCTCAATCCCTGGAACCCTCAAAAGGCTCAGGGAAGTGGTGAGAGCCTTGATTTCAGCATTCCTATAGTGAGGTGGGAAGCAGACACAGGATACTCTCTCAGAAGCTTGCTCTAGCCTGGAGTACACAGTGCAGTGGCAGAACAAGAGAGAGCCTGCCTCAGCAAGGGAGAACCTGCCTCAGCAAGGCAGATGGTGAAAAGCTAATCCTAAAACTGTCTCTGACCCCATCTGCACGGCATAACATGCGTATTCCCCCAGAATCCCCTCCCCCCTCTCTCATGCACACATGCACGCATGAACATTTTTTAAAAGAAATGGAGATGACACTGACCTCATAGGTTATGACCTGGATTAGGTGAGAATAGAAGTGAAGAATGGAGTAAAACGTGAAGCAGGTCTGTCTCGATCAGTGTTCTATTGCTGTGAAAAGACCCCATGGCCACAGCAACTCTTATAAGCTAGCTTACAGGTTCAGAGTTTCAATCCATTGTCATCATGGCAGGACGCAAGCAGACATGGTGCTGAGAGTTCTCTATCAGGATCAGCAGCACAACAGCAAGAGAGATACTGGGCCTGGCTTGAGCATTTGAAACCTCAAAACTCACCCTCAGTGGCACACTTCCTCCAAAAAGGCTATACCTTCTCCAACAAGGCCACTGTACTAATTCTTTCAAATAGTGTTGCTCCCTATGAACCTGTGGGGCTATTTTCATTCAAACCATCATAGGGTCCTAGTTGCAAACATGAATTGTAGCCATCAATATTGGCAATTGTATTATGAACAAAGGGAGGCTCTGAATGTCAATGTGGTCCCTTAAGGAGTTCATTCACCCCAAATCAAACAAAGATGCTGAGTTCAAAGCTTCTGTATTACCTCAAGCCCACTTCTCTCTAGTAGTGACCTGCTGGTCTTGAGCATCTCATCCAGAGTTGCTGGGTCTTCAGAGTTGTGTTACTGTCAGACTGAAGTATTCAGATGTTAGGTTTTTAGGCTATTGATGTTATATGGCTTTCTCTGTTGGTTCTGTTGCAGTAAAGGTTTGCTCATGACAACCCACATGTTATATTTCTGTGGGATCCATGCCTTTCCTCCTGCAGTGGGTAGTTCGTGTTAAGGTTTATAGACTGAGGACCCATGTGCCCATTCTCAAGAGGAATGACATGGTATAGTCTACAAAAGTGTCTGAACAGAGAACAGTCATTGCTGTGTCACAACTACCTTCGCACAGACATGCACGCACATAAAACACTAACACACATAAAATAAAAATAAATGATTAAAAAAATTAAAAAGTCTGAACAAAAGTGATGCTTGGTGTGAAAACTTGCAGCCACGGAGAGAATGGGATGATGTATAAGGAAGCTGTCTGGGGGGGATGAACTAGTTCACATAGTGACAGGACACAGGCGATACAGATGGGGCTATGTATGCATTTGTCAAACACAGCAGAAGGGCGGCCACTTAACTCACGGCTCAACGTTACTGAGGTTTTTGCATTTTATAGTGTGTGAACTCAAAATTGGCCTGAAGTGACAGAGCATAACTTAGAAGGCAAGTCCTTTTCATGCACAGTGGCAGGACCCAGGAGCCTGGGAATTGGGGAAGATGTGCTTGGAAGAAAATGGCTCCTGCTGCCCCCAGTGACAGAACACTGGTGAGCAACCCGGCTGGACACTTGCCAGTCCTTCATGCTAACCGGAAGGACAGACACACATGAGCTTGGCTGATGCTCTGGGGCTTTGTGCTTTCTGGTCCAGTCAGCTTTCTCCTGCAACGTCAGCAGAGGAGGGCTGACGGGAGGGAAGGATAGACCTAGTTTTCAATGTACAGTGAGGACTGACTACCACTAAAAGAAGGAAACTTCAAAGTTAAATGCCAAGTGGGAGGCCTGTAAATTGCTCTGCCATCTTGGGAGGAGTGTCAAGGGTGGGTACAGAAGCAAGTTGACCTGAGGTTGACAGTGCTCCAGGACAAGCTCCGGGAGCCTCTCTCATTAACATTATTTTCCTCAAACTTTCGTCCCCAGCAAAAGCTTTGCACATCTTTTGTTTTACCACCTAATCAGTCTTTTCAGGATACCATGAAGCAGAGGGCACACCAGATGCCTCTGGCACTTCCCTGCTTTGGGACAAGGTGATGGATGGCAGAGGAAGGAAGTCAAATTGCTGTGTAGAGTTAATGCACACGAAGACCCTAATGTACCATTCAGCCAACTGGATAACCCAGACGGCTGAAGGAGAAGTGGCCTCAACACCAAAGGGGATTTTGGGAAAGGGTTTGAGTCTGTGAAAACATTTTCTACCAGAGGAAAGATTTATTGCCCATTACAAATGCAACAAGTACTCATTTAAGATCGTTGAGAAATAGAGAATACTCATAAACATGGGATTTTATCTTTAAGCACAACCCATTGGCAGCCTGCCTCCAGCCGTGTGGTGACAGGTCTGTTATTTCACAAGTGCTTCCTGACAAAATGCCCACGACACCCTGACTGAAGAGCTGCCATGTGCTGCTACTTCACAAACTCTAGCTTTCAGGCAGTTTCCAATTTTTCTCTTTTATTTGAAGAACAGTGCTCTGTCTATAATTTGCTGGCTTCTTTTGGTGACTTTACACTTAGAGCAACTGGAGATGTTTTCTCCAAAGTGCATCAGCAGGACAACGGTTCTGGATGTGTGAGCCCCCTGACACACTCACCTGGATGCATGAGTCCCCTGACACACTCAGTACTTACAGGGCTACCTCTGAAGTACTGAACTCAAGTGGAGCCTGAGAGGTGCCAGTAGAAATCATTCCTGATATTGTTGCCAGCAGTAACCAAGCTTTCTCTGACTATCAAGTTTATTTTTATGCTGTGAACACAGTGAACCATGGAAGTCAGCACATTGGAAGACGGGTGATAGCAAGGGGGAGGACCAGCACCCACAGATCACCATTTCATTCCTGTCTGCCAACACAAGGGGATCAGCTGCCTCAAGCTCCCACCAGAGCTGATAAGCTCTCAACACTGTGCCTTCTCTGCTTATGATGGACAACACCACAAATGGGAAGCCAAAGGATCCCTTCTTCAGGTTACTCCAATGAAGCGTTTTGTTAGAGCAACAAGAAAAGAAACTAATAAGGTAAGCACCATGAGATGGGGGAGAGAGATGGGCTGAAGGCACCCACACAGGAAGGGCTGGACTAAAGGGCACTGGGATGCCTTTCGGGGAGAACTATGCAGAACTCAGCACGAGAGCAGCCTCATTCAGCAACAAGAAAGCTCTGCACTGAGCTGAGACTTTTGGCTGAGGTCTGGAAGCCCGTGGAGGCCCACTGCAGGATTTTAAATGGGATTTAAATGAAATAATCAGATCTATGGTTTACAAGGAACGATCAGGTAGTTGTACAAAGAATAGATTGATAAGGGCTTTTTTTAAAAAGAAAAAGAAAGAAAAGAACTAGGTAGGGCGTGTGGCTCAGTAGCAGATAACTTCTCCAGCCTTCATGGGCCCTGAGATCCATCCTTAGCACCACCAAAGGAAAAAAAAAACTAATCAAACCAAACAAAGCAAACAGACCGGAGCAGTGCCATCTCTCTGGCCCCTCACTTAAATTCAATGATGCAAAACCAGAAGCAATGAAACGACAGTGAGATTTGCTGTTTAGGACACAATGGGACAGCCACACACCACCAGGCTCTCAGCTGAGAGCACTAAGAATTCCTCTCTTCTGCTTAGAGGGTCACAGGTTAACCAGAGAACTAGTAAGTGCTTCAGAATACAGCCAGGCCTCTCACGAACTTAAATGCTACCTGGGAAATGTTGCAGCAGCCACGCAGACTGCAAGCATGTGCACACACTCTGGCCTTCTCCATCTGCTTTGATAGACTGCAACACCCAGAGGGGAGCTAGTCATTTGTTTATTCAGAGTAGAGCTACTCATAACATGGAAACAATGAGTCCAAGGAAAGTAACAGGGGTGAACGAACGGCCACAGGATGGTCTTCCATAGAGCTTTCTGAAGAATGTGACGGGGCACAAACAGGTCAAGTGTGAGGGATGGACTCAAACCATTACTTTCTGGCAAAACTTGCATGTGTAAGAATCAAGAATGACTGGCGCTGCGAGACAGCTCAGTGGGCAAAGTGCTTACTGTGGAAGCGTGGGGACGTGAGTTCAATTCCCCAGAACCTATGTGAAGCCTAGCGATAAAGCCATTTGTCTCCATTCCTAGCTATGAAGAGAAGGCAGGAAGACCCTGCAGAAGCTTGTGGGCCATCCTTGTGAGCACAGAGGCTGACAACTGAGACGCTGTCAGGCAAGCACACACACACACACACACACACACACACAGTCTCTCTCACAAACACACATACGAACACACATTGAACAGATAAAGCTTTTGTCCTACACTTCTGTTTTCCCAAGGTACAGTGGGCCCTGGAACTCTGCAGAGCCAGTCTGGGACTGCTATCTCAGACCTCCATCGACATAACACAATCCAGTTGGCACATTCGCCCTCTGATGAGTGATAAGAATATATTCTCTGCTTCAGAACAGATTTCTGGGAAGAGAAGCAACTGCTGAGCTGTCTTGGAGACTTACTGTGAGCGTGGCAAGCGACATGAAGCCGATTAGGTTGTTCCACACTCTATCAATGTCCTTCAGCAACTGCTGGAGTTTCTCACTGCACACAGCAGTGGCTTTGATCCCCAGCTCCACACGCTTGGTTACTCGGTACACTTCCACCACGCCTGATGGGGAGAGAGGAGAGAGTTAGGCACGGGAAGAGTGGGCTGGGACGGAGCACCGTGGCTGGCTGATGACGTGATTAGGAGGAACAGCTGCACAGGGGCGGGGCTGTGGGTAGAGATAAGCATTGGTTACTTTTCTACTGCTGTGATAAAACACCGTGGCCAGGGCGACTTGCAGAAGAAAGGGTTTCATTAGGCATGGTGGCAGGAACAGCTAGCTGAGCACTCAGATCTCAAACTGCAAGCTGGCGACAGAGAGCATACTGAGAACGGCAGCAAGCTTCTGAAGCCCGAAGCCCCCAATGTCCAACACACCTCCTACAGCAAAGCCACACCTCTGATTCCTTCCCAAACAGCTCCACAAACTGGGGACCAAATATTCAAATCTATGAGTCTATGGGGGCCATTCTCATTCAAACAAGGTGTGTACCGTCTTGATCTGCCGGAATGGTTCTTTTCCTGCAGTCTTTAACCAGGTCAAACTCGACAAGCAAGAAAATGCTAAGTACCTCCTCATTTTAAGATGGTCACTAGACACATCCCCAGGCCTCTGATGTGGCTGTCACCAGACCACTGTGCCGCCCAGTCTGCAGTATAGCTTTCAAGTAGGAACATCCTTGCTCCGCCTCTTGCCATCCATGTGCCCTGGAACAAGTTATGAACCTCCCCATGCCTCAAGTTAAGTCAGTAACAGCAGCCTCTCAAAGGATGGGTGAAGGAAGAAACAGGTAAACACTGCAGACGGCTCACAACAGTGTGGAGTGAGCACAAGACATTGTGTGGGCTATTAGGCTTTTGAGTTCAGATTTCTTTATGAGTTTAGGGTGTATCAGGGAAATCCCATTAACTGACTGAAAACGGAATGAAGTTTTAAGGAATCTAAATGTTGGTGTCATCATAGAGTAATTCATGCTGAGTCCTTAACCTTTTTTTCTTTTTTCTTTTTTTTTTTAAATAAAACATTGCTGGGATTCTATGTGCTAGTAATTTCAAGTTTTAAAGTTATATTTATTGGCATGCCTGGTGGCACACATCTTTAATCCTAGTAATTGGGACACAGAAGCAGGCAGCTCTGAGTTTTGAAGCTAGCCTGGTCTATATAGCCATGTGTGTGCAGGGTCTGGTGCAGGTCAGAAAAGTCCCATGGGTTCCCTGGAGCTGGATCCAGGCAGTTGTGAGACCATTAACATAAGTGTAGGGAACTGAACGCTGGGCCTCTGCAAAGGTGGTGGGCATTCTTAACCACTGAGCTATCTCTTAGCCCCAACAGATAATCGTTTACATTGAGATATATATATATATAAAACAAAGACTTGAAAACTTCACTACAGAGGCTTCAAGTAAAGTAGTTTCTACTTCTGTGCCTTCTGTGTTTTACCTGTGAATACAGCTACTATCGAGGCTGTATACAGCAGGAGAGTGCAGACCTAAAATACCTACAGGGAGTGAACAGTCACACTGATACACTATGCCATGGTTTGACTTTGTGAAATATCAAAGAACACACCTAGAAGATACTCCATGCCTTGGGCTGACTGGATAACTTCTGTGCACACAGCACTGCTGCTAATGCCATTTAAGGTGTCGTTTGCCTTCTTAATGACCTACAAGAAATGAAATCACATTATCTTATACAGCCAAGAAAGGTCACTGCCAATCAATTCTCCACTAGGAGAAAACCCAACCAGCATGAAAAGCAGTACCCAACCAGTCAGTGTGTGCATGTTCCCATGCAGAGACAAACCTAAGAATTTAAACTTTGAAGGGAGGGAGAGAAGGAGGGAAGGAGGGAGGGAGAGAGGAGGGGAGGGGAGCGGGGAGGGGAAAGGGGAGGGAAGGGAGATGGGGGGCAGGTTCTTAGTTCTTTATTATTTTCATATAGGCAGAGTTAATGATGATGTCACTTAGCTACTTCTTAAATGCAGTGACAGATAAGGGGACAGCTGAAAGATGAGCCAGTGTCTACTACCGTAAACTAAAAGATGCATGATTTTCTTTCTTTTCTTTTTTAATTATCTAATTTTAACTTATGTGCATTGGTATGTTATCTGCATGTACGTCTGTGTGAGGGTGTTGGACCCCTGTAAATGGAGTTACAGACAGTTATAAGCTGCCATGTGGGTGCTGGGAATTGAATCTGTGTCCCCCAGAAGAGCAGCCAGTACTCTTAACTTCTAAGCCACCTCCCCGAGATCCCCGCATGATTTTCATGTTCTGCACGGTGATGGAAGTAGGCATCCCTCATGTTTGCCTGTGTTCATTCTGAGGAACCAAGGAGAGGACAAAAGAGGCGAGAGAGTGCCCAGACGCACAGAACCAGATACTCACATCCAGGGCGCTCCCCAGGCATCTCTGCCACTCATATGCGTATCTCTCATTTTCCTGTGGGTTTATAAAAGGAACTGGGTTCAACAGGCAATCTCAGGGTTCTCTGTTTATGATTTATCTCAATACAAAGGGCTTGGGAGACTCCTTTCTACTGAAAGCACGCTGGCAAAAATAGTTACTTTAAATCTACTTAGATGCAAGAAATATGAACACGAAGAACCTACTTTACAGCATTTTTACATTTCTGTATAAATGTTGCCTCATTTGTTCCAGTGAGTGAAAGTGTTACTCGCCTTGGAGGTGTCTGTACACAAGCTAGTGTCACACTATAGCTCTCAGCCAGGCGTGGTGGCAGTCCCCTGAAATCCCAGCACTTGGGAGGCAGAGGCAGGATCACTGTGAGTTTAAGGCCAGCCTGGTCTATAGAGAGAATTCTAGGCCAACCAGGGCTACATGAAATTCTCTCAAAACAACAAAAACCCCACAGAAGGAAAGTCCAGCTTTCCACTGTTCCACAGTTCGCTGCTGTGTGTGCAGGAAGCATGTGTGTGTACACTTGTATCGCAAGAAACAGGGTGTTTAAGATACCACAAACAGAAATAGAGGATCCAAAACATTTCTCCTCTCCTCTTGTTTTGATGCTTTAAAATGCAGTAGGATGATAAAGTATATGTTTTGAAAAAGAGTTTCTAAAATGCTTCTCTCTTTTCAAAGTCCCATGAACAATTTCAACTTTAGCCACAACTTTCAGAGGCTGAAACACATAGGGAGCATATTCAACCCCGGGGTAAGCTACTAGCCTTGACCTCTGAGGATCTAGTTGCCATCTGGTGTGTAGTATCTCCTCCCCTCCCTCCCTGCCTCCTCCTCAGGGAGAGTGAAAAAGGGTGTTTCACCTCCACTTCGCCGGTCAGATCCTTGTACTTGTCTCGGATGACGGGCAGCGCTGCCCTCTCACTCAGAGTGTTGGACCGGTCTCTGAAGGGCTGCTCCAGGGCCGGGGAAGGAGAAGACCGGCTTATTTCTTTGTCCCCAAGGCTCAAGCTCCTCTTGTGTGATCCTGGGTGGGTGGGTGGGGGGAACAGTAGACACAAAGGTTCCTCAGGTTACTCAGCCTGGCTCAAGCAGGGTCCTGCTTGCTGATGTGACCATCTCTGACAGGTGATCATGACAGGAGACATTTGGAAACAGTCTTTGTTCACCCTGTCTGGGAAGTTCTTTGACTCTTGCTCTCTTGTGCTTGGAGACTTCCTTTAGTTTCCCCCATTCCTCTTCTCTCATCTCACTACACTACACTACACTACACTACACTACACTACACTACACTACACTACACTACACATTTCCATCCCACAGTTCACTGCTGGGTGTGCAAGTGCACATGTGTATACACTTGTATGTGTCACAGGGAACAGGGATGTTTAAGATACCACAAATACAAACAGAAGATCCAAAACATTTCTCCTCTCCTCTATCAGTAGGATGATAAAGTCCTACAAAACGACTGAATCATGGGTGTCTAGCTGCAAAGCGCCATTGTCAATATGGGTACCCAGGAGCCATGAGACCCTTCCTGTGATTGGTTGTAGGCTTGCACCTTTGTGCCTCCTTGCTTGCACGCTGCCTTTCTTCTGTAAGATCTAGAGCTTCAGAGACAGGGAGTGAGGGTGGCAATGAAGCAGAGGATTTGGAGGAAGATGTGGCTAAGACTCTGACTAACTGGGAGGTATGTCCTCCATCAGACTGGATCAGTTAAAACAGGTGCCTTTTAAAAAGTACTAATTTGGGCTGGAGAGATGGCTCAGCGGTTAAGAGCACTGGCTGTTCCTCCAGAGCACCCAGGTTCAGTTCCAGCACCCACATGGCACCTTGGAACTGTCTGTAATTCCAGTTCCAGGGGATCTGACACGAAGACATATAGGCAAAACACCAATGCACATAAAATAAATAGATATATCATAAAAAGTACTGACATTGTGACTTTAATTATGTATGTGTGCTATATGTTTGGATGTGCACACACGAGTACAGGTGCCCGCAGAGGACAAATGTGTCAGACTCCCTGGACCTAGAGTTATAGGCTGCCAGATATGGGTGCTGGGAACCAAACTCAAGGCTCCTGAAAGCGCAGTGCATGCTCTTTCTCTGTTCTGAGACAGGGTCTTATATGTAACTGTCCTGGAACCCACTCTGAAGACCAAGCTGGCCTCAAACTCACAGAGATCTGCCTGCCTTTGCTTTCCGAGTGCTGCGATTAAAGGAGTGTGCCATGTCCAACACACTGTGGGCTCTTGACCACTGATCCATCCCTACAGCCCCAGATGGATTTTTTTAAAAAAGTATTTAGTTCATTAAAATGTTTCTATTAGATTTTTTCATTTCATTTTATGTGTGAGTGTCTTACCTGTATGCATGTTTGGTGCCTACAGAAGTTGGGGCATTGGATTTCCTCAAACTGGAAGTATGAATGGTTGTGAACTACCATGTGGATGCTGGAAATCAAGGATCAAACACGGGTCTTCTGCAAGAACAAGTGCTCTTAACCACCGAGCCGCCTCTCTAGCCTCTTAATTCTATTTTTAAATAGGTGATGTGCAAGCAAGCACACATGGAGGCCAGAGGTGCAGGATCCTCCTTGAAGCTAGGGTTATAGGCAGTTGCTACAAACTGAACTTGGGATTGATTCTTTCTGTACACTCCTCTTAACCACTGAGCCCCAAACAGATGATTAAAAATGCATTTGTGGGTGAGATGGCTCAGCAGGTAAAGACTCTTGCTGCCAAGCCTGCCAACCTCAGGACCCACATGATGGAGGGAGAAAGCACACTTCCACCTCTATATGCATTTCCTGGCATATGTGCCCATACATATGCATAGATAGACGTGCATTCAGTTGCCAGGCATGGTGGTGCACACCAGCACTTAGGAGTATTTGAGTACTTGGGAGGTAGAGGCAGGTAGAGGACTAGGTGCTTGAATCAAGGTTATTCTCTGCTACACAATGGGTTTGAGGCCAGCGTGGGCTCCATGAGACTCTGTGTCAAACAAAACAAATAACACCCCCAGATCTGTAGGCGGAATGCAGACCCAGTGCCACACTGAACTTGGGGAATAAAAGCAGAGGCTGTCAGTTCTTTAGCTATATTAGAGAACATACTTTTTTTTTTTTTTTTTGAGTCTGGGGCCCCCCCCCCCCCCCATCTTGGAACTGGCATGTAGACCAGGCTGACCTGAATTTACAGATACTCCTGCCTCTGCCTCTCCTGAGTGCTGGGATTAAAGCTGTGTGCCTCCACGTCTCCACGTCTGACATACAGCAGACTTCTAAGCCAATAAGAGTGAAGAGAAAGTACAGAGTCCACTTGCCCTTTCTTCAATAAGCAGTTAAGCAGTCTGGAGGGACAGGAGGGGCAATGATTGGTCTCCAGCTCCAGGGAAGGGCCCTGCTCTTGGAAGCTGGAACATCTATTTCCTGCTAAATAAAGAATCATCACTGTACTTTTTCTTTGAACTTATTTTTTAGTTTTTGAGATAGTGTCTCATTATGTAGCCCAGGCTGACCTCAAACTCATGATCTTCTGCCTCAGCCTCCTGAATGCTAGAATTTACAGATGATCCTTACCATGCCTGGTTTTAAGAATCACCATTTTATACTCAGGAAAGAATGTGTATCATTTCAGTGGAACAAGCCCACAGGGAGAAAATCTTACCTTGAACAGAAAGGTCAAAGGTTGCCAGCTCACTTTTGATCATTTCTTCACTGGACTTCATTTTGCTCTGTGAATTAGCTACTAAGAAGTCAAACTTGCTGATTTTGGGCTTTTCACTTTGAAATTCTCCAAAGTCGTCTGCACCCTCCTTGGAGGTTTCGTGTGAGGCCACACTGGAAGCTGGGCTTGGACATGTGGTCTCTTGGCTCCGGTCCACCATGGATATGTCCTGCCTTGTAAAATCCTGGAAGTCCCCGCTTTCATACTCTTTCTGTTCAGTGGTCTGAGGCATCATGTCTTTAAAGCTGGCAAAAGCTGGGAAGGGAGTCTCTGGAAGAGCGTCCTCACTGGCCAAGGCCGATCCTTTGGAGAGAGATGACATGGTGATGTTTTCAGAACTGCCAAATGAGATCTCTCTCGTTTGAAGGTTTGAGGTGGCTGAGAAGGACCCACTTCCTGCTGAGAGGATGAATGGAGAGAATTTTCTGCCCTGAGGTGCATCACCCCTGTCTGACCATTCACAGCTTGTAAGTGTGCTCATTGTAAAATGGCTACTACAGTTTCCAAAAGCAGCACAGTTTAAGTCCTCTACATCTGAAAGGGAAGTACGGTCCCACAGTTAGAGGCAAGCTCCTAAATTAGGCAAAATGCCTAGAATATTTCATCAGTCGTATGCCATACTGCAAAAACTGTAGTCAGGGCTTGTACTAAAACTTAAGGAGTTGGGCTGTGACATTTGATCTCTACGAAACCATACTGGTGTTCAGTTAGCATTTCTAGTTGATTACAAAGAATCATTTTAGCTGGGCATGGTGGTACACACCTTTAATCTCAGCATTTGGGAGGCAGATCCCATGAGTTTGAGGCCAGCCTGGTCTACACAGATTTCCAGGACAGCCAGGTCTACAAAGAGACCCTGTCTCTAAAAACAACACAACAACAAAAAAATCCTTTCCGTTATATATAAAAAATTACTATAAAGATGGGTTATACAGCCATGCACATACTGTTTGGTAGAAGACTCAGATCATTTAATGAATTATTTCCTTTTAAGCTTGAAGACATACTTATATATTTCTTACCTAAAACATGTCTCCTTTTCTCCAGGCTGTGTTGGACAGTGTTTCTCTTAAGCACAGTTATAGGAAATGTGACAAACTAAAAATTCAGTTTCTTAAAACAAAAAGTAAACACCTTCTAATCTAACTTTGAATAAATCACTAGAAATTTCTGCATCAGGCAAAGAGACATATGGGGTTTTAGTCAAGCAGTCACTTACCTCAGTTTTATTTTGGTCAGTTTGGATATCCTATTGCTGGGATAGAATATGAGAAAAACCAAAATTAACCCAAACTACTTTAGTCCTTAAAAGAACAGAGTAAGCCGGGCAGTGGTGGCGCACACCTTTGATCCCAGCACTTGGGAGGCAGAGGCAGGTGGATTTCTAAGTTCGAGGCCAGTCTGGTCTACAGAGTGAGTTCCAGGGCAGCCAGGGCTATACAGAGAAACCTTGTCTCGAAAACAAAACAAAACAAAAAACAAAAAGAACAGAATAAGGGGCCCGGGTATGGTGGAACACACCTTCAATCCCAGGAGGCAGAGGTGAACGGATCTCTTTGAGTTCCAGGCAAGCAAATGAAAAGTGTGAGGTTCTTCTGGGATGTTTCTACTTCAGTAATTCATCTCTCTCCTCATACTCATTGAAGAGAGGAAGAAGTAAGAGGAAGATGTGCTGGGCTAGAGGACTCGCCATACTGTTTGTATACATTTAAATAAGTAAGCTGGACAAGGTGGTACATGCCTTCCATCCCAGCTCTTGGGAGGCAGAGGCAGGCTGATCTACAGAGTGAATTCCAAGACAGACAGGGCTGCCTCAGAAAATGAATGAATGAATGAATGAATGAATAATGAGGTAGTAGAAAACAGCAAATGCAGCTTTTCGGTCTAGACAGGTCTAACTGACTCTACCACCTACTTACTTTCTTACCACAGGGCACTAGCCTTACAGTTCAGTCTGGCCTTGAACTCCTGGTAACCCTCTCATTTCAGCCCCAATATGTACTTTTCTGAGCCCTGGTATGCTCCTATATGAAGTGGCGACGGGACTATGTATTATGCGGATGATGTGTGTGGAGGGTTGTTCAGCGCCTGGAGAGCAACGCATCTAACAGCTTGAATTCTTTCTCAGTAAAAAATAAAAAGGCAACTCATCATTTTAGGGTTGTTCCTAGAAAAAGCTCATTTTCTTTCCCTCTCCTCCCTTCTGTCATATAGGGTCAAACCAGGCCTGTGAGCACACTAGGCAAGTGCCTAGCCATTGACCACACCTCCAGCTCTCTGTTTTTAACTGTGTTGAGACAGGCTCTTAGTAACTTGCCTAGGCTGTCCTTGAACTCAAAATCCTCCTGCCTCAGTCTCTCTTGTAGCTGGAACTACAGGCCTGAGTCATCAACCTTGCTTTCCCGGTAATTTTCAAAAAGCAAAATCAGCAAAGCTGCCTATAGGTGGGGTGGAGAAGCTCCGATCAGTAGGGCGCTGGGTCAGCACCTTATTTCATTTTACTTACTTTACTTTATATGAGGTGAGAAGGCCAACTACCTTGATAAACACACACACACACACACACACACACACAAATTGACAAGAAAGCCAAAGTTCTGTGACCCAGACTTTCACCATAGTCAACTGGTGAAACGACGTGAGCCGCTTTTCCTCCCTTACCAGCAATAGCACAGCACACATAGTTTAGAGTAGGTATGCAGTTCTGGATATTTCCACAGCTCTCTCACCATCCTTCCATGTATCTCCCTAAGCTCTGATAAGAGCATTAAATGAATAATAAAAAACAAGCAACAGTCATCAAGTATAAAGCAACTATCTTTTGCTAAATGATGGACTTTAAAATTTTACAGTACAAACTGCACCCTTCATGTATGGCTTGCTTAACATAAAGGACGAATGATTTGGGTGACAGGTTTATAGTTCTGAATGAATGAAGCAAGCCGTTAGACAAAGCACTCTTTTAGTCCCTCACTGTAGTGTTCTCCCCTTTGGTAGGAGGATCGACCTAGATCTAGGTGTCCAGGCCCAAATGAGGTACCACTCAATCCGGAGGCAGATGCTCTGAAACACAAGACTAGTTTGTCAGGGGTACATTCAGTGAATGCTTCACCACAGATATGCTCTTCCAGAAAGCTCTTTGGGGAAACCATATCAGAAACTGGCTCTAGTATCTTATCTATTAAAGAAAGGGTAGTGATTCTTTTTTTTTTTGCAGACCAAAGATAAACTTATGGAAAGACAGCTCCGGTCCAAACACTGCAACCAAGTTGCTATGGTAATAAAAAGACCTTTTTGTGCAAATGCCACAAAAAAGAAAGTCTTTTTTTTTTTTAAATTAAGACTGACTGACTCATGATATTATAAGTGATATGGATTGCCTTAGCCAAAGAGCTTTTAAGACTTTTTATAACTACAAAGGCATTAACCAGAGAGTAAACATGTTGTGAGTCACTGAACACAGCTTTGAAGCTGAATATTTCTACTTTTGCTTATTCACTGGCTACTAGTGGGTGAAAAGTGATTTACTGAAGAGTAATTAATTTGAATCTGTAAGCACCAAAGCTGGAATTACATAAGAACCAAAAGCAAACAGTTACATAATATCTATCCCTAAGGCTTAGCATCTATACACAGTATAAATCCGGAGTGTGCTTTTTTGGTAGAGTGAATACTGGTAAACCATTTTCTAAGAAAAAGTTGGAATATCACTTCACTGACGGTAAAGAGCAGACAAGGAAACTCCCCGTTCTCTTGTACTGGTAGCTCCCTGTTTGCTTAGCGACGCAGTTCCACATAGCACTGTAAAAAAAAAAAAAAAAGATTTCAAAAGTAATAAATCACAAGGTCTCTGGCATGAAGGACAGGAGTCCTGGCTGGGAAAAAAATGACACAGGATGTTGTAATCATCGAAGTGACTAGAGGTGGCTTTGCGATTTCACAGCCGGATTCTGAAAATTGTGAGAGACAAAGAAAAAAGAAACTGGGGACTGGCCACAATAAAAGGAATCGTCACTACTGTGTCTCCGATCCTCCAGCGGGCTCCTGGGCCCTCCAGCGGGCTCCTGGGCGGTGCTAGGGAACGCTGCAATGAGGCCCAGGGAACAAAGCAAACTGTGTGCTTTTTCACACATGGATTTGTTTGCAACCAGGAATTCACCGTGACAAAGGGCAAAAGAATAAATAGTACAATCCCCTTCCCATCATGGATCAAATCAAGATGTGGCTTGCTCTCCTACAGGCAGTGAACCCCATTCAAACCCACTCTGGCTGCACGTTGTACATGAAAACAAGGTATTTCCAGGCATGTAGCTGCCCCCACAGGAGACAGAAGGCCAGACATATCTCCCTCACCCGTCCTACTTTCCCCAGGGATGTTTTCTAAAGCCATGAGTGTATGTCTTAGAGATTAAAAGTTACTGACTTTTAAGGAAGGAATTTAGAGAAAGGGAAAAAAATTCTTTTTTTTTTTTTATATGTACAATCCCACTACTGTCAAGTGTTTTACATAGCAGTAGCAACATTTGCTGGCCCAAAGAGAGCCCGCCAATACAGAATTAACCTAGCCTTCATTTATCAACACAAACCATGAAATATTTGCATATTTCCATTTCTCCCCATTTTGGGCCCAATCTTCCCTTAGAAAATATTCTCCACTAACTGTAATGCCTGGTCTGTGTTCTGATAAGTCTGAAGCATCCTGAAGGAATTGCTGCAGAGAACAGGAAAAGTGATCTCACCGTGCAACAGCCTACAAAACACTGTTTGACCACCTTCTTGTTTTCCAATCTGTATAGGAACGTCCCTGTCTGTGTCTGTACTGACTCCTGTGATGCTATGGTATAGGAATGTCCCTGTCTGAGTTTATACTGACTCCTGTGATGCTATGGTATAGGAATGTCCCTGTCTGAGTTTGTACTGACTCCTGTGACACTGTGGTATAGGAATGTCCCTGTCTGTGTTTGTTTGTACTGACTCCTGTGATGCTATGGTTTAAACTGTGTTCACACTGTAAGCATCTTCAGGTTTCTATGTTGATGCCTTTAAGTTTGATAAAAAGAAGCTGTAAGCATGAGAATACTAAATTCAGAGGAGTCTAGAAGTCAACAAGACAGTAAGACTGTGCACGGTGGGTCAGGAAAATCCCTGGCTGGAGACAGGGCTCAGAGGTCGAGAGCATGCATCGCTCTACCAGAGAACCCAGCATCCGTGCCTGGGAGCTCACAATGCGTGCAACTCCGGCTCTAGGGGATCCAATACCTCTGGCCTCTGCAGCACCTGCATTCAAGTGCACACCCACACACATACATATAATTAAAAGTAATAAAAACAATAGAAATCTAATGATGCCAAGTGAGCACAAAAGATGTTAAGTACAATGAAGGCTTGAGAGCAGACTTAGGAGGTAGAGCCTCCTGCTTATGTGGCCCTCTTATGTTCTCAGAATCACTTGGCTGGCATTTCCCAAACAACTTGTCAAAAGTCCTCAAATGACAGAACTAAGTAGAAGCCACTCAAAAGAAAAAGTAATTTGGGCTGAGACTGTACCTCAGTATCTGAGTACTTGCTTAGCATGCAATAAATAAACATACATAAGTAAAAATATCTGGGCATGGTGACATGTGCCTGTAGTCCTAGTTACTCTGAGGCAGGAGGATAACAAACTCAGGAGCTCAAGATCAACCTAGGCAGCAATAGTGAGACCTTGACTCAAATCAACCAAACAAAGAAGAATAAATAAAAATAACCGACAGGAGGTGGTACCCGTCCTTAATCCCAGTACATGGGAGGCAGAGGCAGGTGGATCTCAGAGTTCAAAGTCAGCCTGGTCTACAGAGCAAGTTCCAGGACAGTCAGGGCTACCCAGAGAAACCTTGTCTCGAACAACAACAACAACAACAACAACAACAACTCATCATCATCATCATCATCATCATCTAAGCCCTTCAATGATTTTAGAAGCTAGCACAGCTTGTGTGACATTACCAGTATTCTCTGTGAGTGCATCTGTTTCCTCTGATAGCCAGCATGGATTCTAACAGGAGCAACAGAGTGGCTGCAGAGAACCAGCATGATTGTGGGATGTTTCATGCACCGACAGAGACAAGCATTAGCCAACTGTATCTTACCTCTGGCATCAGGACAAACAACTACAGTGTTACTTGAACCTATACCACAGAATGTAAGTCTTTACCACACGTGCACACATACAACGGATATTGTGCTATTATGTTGTTAAAATTACCCCCCTAAAAATAAGATGGTGTCTAGACACAATGAGTTGTTCAATGAGTGACAGCTATACACAGGGTCGGTCACTTCTGCCCATCAGGGAGCTAAAGCGCCTGGTAGACTGCAGAAGCCACAGCCCTGGGGGGGAGCGGTTGGGCTGCTGGGGTCTCTAGCTTGAAGCTTTTCTCCCCAGCTTGTTAGCAGCACAGATGGTTAAAACTCAGAGCACTTTGTACAAGGTTTTAACAGTCACCTCCCTCAACTTTCAACACATATACATCTCAAGTGGAAGGCCTGGCTTTTCCTAGAGTAAATTTCACCTGACACCCAACTTTTTTCCTTTCTTGGGTGGCATACCAAAGTGACTTCTGGAATCCTACTCAAAATTCCCATTTCCAGGAATTCTTAAAAACAACAACAACAAACCCCAAATCTTCAAATCACGTGTAAAGTGGAAGTACTGAAACATCTTTTCCCTGAAATCTTTACGTGGCTTGGGGTTGTGACCTGAAAAAGAATTCTATTTCCACGGTTCCCTGTTCTCACTCTATTCTAAAATGGAGCACATAATTCCAAGTATGGCTACTCATTGCTAACTTTCACTGGTCTTTGATATTTTTATTAGTTAATTAATATATTGATTGATTGGCTGCAGTGCTGAGATCAAACCCCCATGCTCTGTAAATACTCTACCACTGACTCAGGCCAGACAATGTTTTCTTAAAAATGAAAACAGTGTAATGTTTAGTTCTTCTGTTTTGCAGGTTTAGTTTATAACACTTATTACCGTTGTGTGTGTCATGTGTCTATGTGTGAGCACCAGCATGTCATGTGCTGGTATACAGGTTGGAGGACGACACAGTTGCTTTGTTACCCCCGTCCACTCTTTTGGGACTTCTTTGTTTGGTGTTTGGTTTTACTCTTTAAATATATCCTCGGCTTGTCTTGAACTCACAATTCTGTCTCAGCCTCACAAGAGGCGAGATCACTGGTGTGTATCTCTCCCCTAGCTAAACTTTAGTTTTGCATTGCTGAAGACTGTGAATAATATGTTTCTACATGTACTGAGTTATTTGGTGCTGAGATTAGACAAGCACTTTATGGATGCTCGAAAGCATGCTACCAACTGGGCTCGAGAGCCTAAAGCTACACTTCAGTTCTAGGCCACATTAAGGACTTCTGGGTTTATGAGGGGCAAAGGTGAAACTGTATCCCTGCTTTTTTAAGAGGAAAAAAAAAAAAAAGAAAACAAACCAAACAAACCAGTTTCAAGGGACACTATGACTTCAATTTGATACCTGCCAGATATTTCTTTGGTCTAACTGAAAAACACAAATTACACACATCCCCACACTTTCAAAATATGCCAAAGAATCGTTTATTAACACAGGACTTACAGATCGCAGAAGAGAGTGGTACAGAAGAGCTAGAAAGGAGTTGTCAGAGTAAGCATGCAGGCCAGGGTTTGCAGAGGAAGAGAATAAAGCAAGTTCCAAACGGCACATTCACACACAAGTGTCTATGCTGAAAAAGACATCAGAAAAGCAGCCAAAAATAATAAGGCGCTGATTAAAATACAAAGATTTTCCATGTCAAAAAGAGCTACTTCACAGGCAGGTAGCCCCAGAGGGCTTGCTGACTCTTTGAGAAAGTCACAGATCAGAGTAAGCTCTTGCTGCCAGACAAACAAAGGCTCTTAAAGACTGAACGTCAGGATGCTGCTGTGCTAGACAGAGTAAATTTAGGGGGGTGGAAAAGCAGCATCCTTGAAATCATATGCAGCAAGGGCTCAAAGGGTTAAATGTAATGATATGCAGAGAGAAACCAGGCAATGTTATTAGTATATCTATCTACCTTCATACAAAGAATTAACAGCACGGGTTAGAGATAGTATCCCCTCCAGAGTTAAGTTAGGGTTTCCAAACAGGATTATGGTCCATAGACAGAAATCATCTAAGTTTTCTTTTCTTTTTTCTCCATCAGCCCACTTCTTATTTCTTAGGATGTCTTTTTTATCTCCAGACTAAGAGAGCAATCGATTCCATGGTGAGCAAGAGAAAGAGTAAAATAAAGTTACAGTGGCCTGAGGCAATGCCTGTGGCTCACCCTGTCCAATTGTTACTCAGGCAACAATCTTGCTGTCTTGTAGGCAAGATGGTCAGCCATCAACCCATCTTAACAACCGCTCTGAAGAAATGGATACTGCTCCTTCCACACTGGAAGTTTACAGAACAATAGAAGGAAACAATCTGTATTTAAGGTCTCTTCCCTTTGAACAGACCTATCTGGAACATGACAGGTTCCATTCTCAGAATGTTCCAAACATACAGAGAGAATACGATCGAGCACAGATTATTTAACAGGTCCATTGGAATGAACTCAGTCAAAAGCCAACCTCTCCTTCCCAAATAAAAGATGGGAAAAAGACATCTCAAACCTGCATTAACTCATTTCACGAAGATAAGTGGTTTGGCACTGTGAAAGAATATAGATTCATTTTCAGAAAAATAGCCTCTAATTAATAACTTCAGAGTCCAAAAGGCTAGTATACATGTTGTGAAATTGTTTTTAAATAAAAATCAAATGTTGTTTAAGAAACAATGCCCCTTTGCAACCAAGTGTTGTGGCTCACGCAGCTCATATTAAAAATAACAAAGCATCCTATCAAACAAATAACACTGAAGGGAAAAATATGAAAAAGAAAAAAACAGGAGAAACTACTAGTGAAGGGTATCAGGGGCTGAGCCTGCCTGCTGCACCAGGAAAGCCCGCGGCCAGCAGCAGGCAGGGCACGGATCATTGCTAACTTGCTTCCCATTCAAACCCAGCATAAGAAGCCGCCAACATTTTAGTAACAAAGGACACGATTTGTCAGTTTGAAATCTGCGGACTCTACAGCACTTCACAATGTCTGCTGAGCCTGTAAACTTACAGTGTCTTACCTGTCCCTCTCAGGTAGAGAAACAAACCCTGCATGTGCACACAACATTTTCTAGAGTAATACATAATACCAAGATAGTTCTCATTATTAAAGGCCACAAAATAGGTTTATCTTTCTATATACATATCAAAAAAAAAACTAAATAAAAACTAGGACACTTGGGAATCTAGTTCTTGTGACAGGAAGTTGGACCAGAGAATAAACTGCTACATGTAAAGCCACACAGGGTTTAAAGAGGGCTCCCTAAAAAGAGGTTCTCACACATCAGAGGTTAGTAGCTACCCTAGCCTAGCATCTACAGGGTTATTACAACTTAATACTTGCAGTAACACTGTAAAACAGTAATACTGAAAACAGGTCTGCTCCCTGCCAGGCCCTGACCTTTGGAGCATCCCTAAGTGACCTCTTCCCTCTTCTCAGAGAAGCTGGAAACTATACTACAAGTGGGGGGAGTTCACTTACTCTCTTGGCCTAGTCAGAGTCGGTTTCGTAAACCAAATGAACACTGTCTTAGCAACCCTAATATACCAAAGAGGAGACAAAAGGGGAGAGCAGGCGCTGCTGGTCCCTCTCACAGGAATGAAGAAACACTGCACACACTGCCAAAGTCTTTATAAAACTCCTGGCTATGTGGGGTTCACTGAGCAGTGGGTCCGTATCGGCCTCTGATACTAAGTGAGTATTGGTGTCAAAATAAAACTATTTTGGCTATCCAATCTAAGCTTCAGAGCAGTCAGAGTACCCACAGATTAAGGTTTCCATAGCATCATGTTTAACACTGCTTCAAGCAGACAGACAACTGCAGATTAGCTCTTCCTAGAGATCTGAGGAGGTAACGGGACAGAGCCTTGGTCTGTCAGTCAGACAATACCCACAGAGTCATCTCTGATATCTACATGACCATCACCAGAGCAATCTCACCAATTCCTCACCTGCGGCAGGAGGATGTTGGCCACTAACTGTTGGTAAATCCAAAGAGCTATCAGACATGACATGCTTAAGATCTCCTCCCACATCAGCCAATTTCATGTCAAACTGAACAGAAAGCGCATCTTCAGAGTCCTCCTTGCCAACACTGCTGCCACCGATGGAGGGGAGGTCTAAAGACTTCACAGAGGCGGAGTCTTCTTTGGCATGTCTGAAAGCCACTGCTTTTTCTCCCAGGGATTTGTCTGAGCTCGTGGATGAAAATTTACTGGAGTGGAAGTCGGCAAAGTCATCGTCACTCTTTGTGGAAGGAGTGTTCTCTTTGAACTCGTCCATGGCCAGTCCAGCTCCCTCTAGGGAAAGCTGCTTGAAGACATCGTACTTGGTTGCCGCAGCAGGTGGGTTCTGTGCACTCTCCACAGTGCTGCTGGACGAGGGGCCGGGACTCACCTCCTCCCTGAGGGCTTCGTACTTGTCATCTGCTTTTGGCTCAGATGAAATGGAGCTGTTACCAAAAGCCATGAAATCTGCAAAGTCGTCCTGCTCCCCAACAGATGCAGGGTTTGAATATTCCCCAAAGAGGTTGAAGTCTCCAAAATCATCTGCCAAACTAGAAGTTTTAGCGGATGCCAGTGCTGCTGAGGCTGCTGCAGAACCTGCTGGCTGAGGTCTCGTGCAGACTGACTTTGACGTGCTAAATGCAGCTGAAAAGGGCACAGGTTTCTCGACACTGCAATCTGCTGAGGAGAACATATCTAGGTCTTCTAAGTTCAGAGGGGTTTTCACCTGTGTCTGTGCCTGCTGTGCAGCTCCTGAGGTAAAAGCTGATGGAAAAGTGTCTTTTGTCGGTGGCTCTAGGGGTGACACACTATCGGCGGTCTTGAAGTCAGTGAAGCCGTCATCGGTTCCTGTGGGTCTGAACTCCGCAAAGCTCTCTCCTGAAAGAAAGAAGTGCAGTTCAGTAAGGATGCTGAGCAGAAGACCACAGGGCACATGACGCACTAAACCCAGGTGTAACTTTGTACGTCCGCCCTTGGCTTGGCAGTAACCATGGTCCACACTCTTATCAGACCACTTGTTTCTCCATTAAAGCCAGTGATAAGGAAATAGGCAAGCACTGCTCAAGACTCTCTCCTCTGCTGGACAGAAATGAACCAGAAGCTGGAGGCTCCAGAGAGGCACACTAATAGCAGCCCATTAAAATGAAACATTATATAGTTTTAAATAAGATCAAAGGTATCAATGAAGTATTGAGAGAATCCTGCATCTGGTATTCGGAGTGTACAACTCTGAACAACTAAGCACTTTAAAAAGATTTAGAAGCTGGGTGTTGTGTCACACACCTTCCCAGGACTTGGGAAGCTGAGGCAGAAGGACCACAAGGTGAGGCCAACTTGGGCTACATAACAAGACCAGGTCTCCAACATACCAACCAACTAACCAGCCAACCAATGAACTAACCAACAACAATAAATAAAACAACCCCATTACTAGATGCTAACAGCGTAGCTCAGTGCTTGGTGTCAAACTCATGCATGATACAACCATGGCCTAGGTTCAGGGCTGAGCACTCGCACACACTGACACCCCCCCCCACACACACACACAGGAACAAAAGAGGTTACAATGTGGTCTTGTTCAATTACACTGACATTAATTTGATTATATTTTTGCAAAAATCTTTGAAAAAATAACTACTTATTTGAAAAGCAAGTTAAGCATCCACATGGAGGTCAGAGGACAGCTCTGGGGGTTGACTCTTTTCTCCTTTGTTTTAAATCTGAGCTTTGAGGACTGAACTTAGACCATGGGGTTCTGCAACAAGCATTTTTATCCTGAGGCCATTTTTTCCCACTCCCAAGAACTTAGTCTTTAAACTTTGGAACCATGATTCCTAATAAGATTTCTGTTCTTCACTAGTATTTAATCGTAGCACTCACAATTACAGTGTCGTGATGCAGATAACCTCAGGTTTCTTACAGTGTCTGAGGCCTACGATGAAACCCACTAGGATAAGCCACTTAATGAAAGCCAGCGATGTACCAAGCGTGAATACTGCTATACCAACCAATATCACTTAATATCTAAAAACATGACTGCCAATTCTGGAGATTAAAAAATAAAAGCCTAAATTTCTTTGCTACTTTGCCTCCACTTTTTTTTTTGTTTCTTTTTGTTTTCCTTTTTTGAGACAGGGTTTCTCTGTGTAGCCCTGGCTATCCTGGAACCCACTCTGTAGACCAGATTGGCCTTGAACTCAGAGCTCTGAGATCCAGCTGCCTCTGCCTCCCAAGTGCTAGGATTCAAGGTGTGCTCCACCACTGCATGGTTTTTTTTTTTCTTCTTCTTCTTCTTCTTCTTCTTCTTCAAATAGTCTACTTTTGTAGTTCTGGTTGGCCTAGAATTCACCAGATAGAACATGTTGGCCTTGAATTTGTAATCTCCTGCCTCTACCTCCTAGGTGCTGGGATTATAGGCATGCACTCACTACCATGAGTAGCTTACCAATTTTTAAAAAAATTGTTTTTCCTAAATAAACATAAATGTATATGAACCGTAAAATGTACTTAAAGACAAACCCTAAAACCAGTTTCTAAAACTGCCACAGAGGTGGGCTTCAAACCTACTGGGTCTCATGCATGATTGACACTTTAATTTACCAAAGAGAAGAAGCACTGGAAACAATGTAATTTTGCTTTTTAATCTGATGCTGAATTTATTTACTAGCAAAAGTCACCAATACAAATCCTCCCATAGTGTTAGAGAAATATGAGAAAGAGGAGCAGCCTTCAAGTTTCCTATAATTTTTGTATTCAAGACACAACATAAGTCAATTTCACAAACTGACAGAAAATAAAAATGTGAGAACTACCCTAGGATTTACAGATGCATCAATGACATTTGAGTTATTTCTATAAATGAAAAGATCATTAGTAGTAAATTAAATTTTTTTTTGTCATTTTTGGTTTTTTGAGGCAAGGATTCACATGGTAGCCCAGGCTGACCTTGAACTCATGACAATTCTCGTACCTTAGCCTCATGAGCACTGTAATTAGAGGCATGAGCTACCATGTCCAGATCATGGCCTAAATAAAATTTTGATGTGTTGCTTTGAAATATCTGTGAAATTGACAGGTTCTGAGTTTTAAACACAAATCACACAGCAAACTAAACTTACTGATGATGAACTGTAAATTTTTCCATCAGAACTGTAAACTGGGTGAAAGGATTGAAGGAAATAGAAGGGAGAGGGTTCATAAGTCAACGGCAAAGAGAATGACGTCAGTAAGTTAACTAGCTGGAGTGACTCTTGTTCTACTGGGAGCTTTTTCATTAGCTTGTGGATTCTTCAAGTTCCTCCTTTGATCTTTGTAACTTTTTAGGCCCTGAGAAAATTTTAAGGGAGTATTTAGCTAAAGCTCTAACAAGAAGTGTCCCTTTGTTATGCAGAACACTGTTCAGAACTTACACACAGCTCTGGCTTAACCTACAAGGAGACATTAGACTGTCACTCAGCGGCGCAGGGGACTCATTCCTGAGTGCGGTCCTGCAGAGGCTCTACGTCACAGCACACCCACATTCCCTCTAGTGTTTGGCTCAAATTTGTTATTGTAGCCAAGGATGACCTTGTGTTCCTCATCCTCCTGTCTCCACTTTCCAAGAGCTGGTAGGAAAGGTCTGTACTACAAATGGCTCAACTCAAAGAAAGTTTTCAAAAAGTTTAGGAGAATAAAACAGTTTCTCCTAAATTGAAGAAAGTTAGTAACTCAAGGGGCTTTAAACCAAGTGACATGGAGAGAAATGAAGGCAGGCAAGTCAAAAAGAGATGACCCAGACCTGGGCTCAGGATGAGGAAGCAGGACTATGGGGCTGCTTACACTTTGGGCACCACCACCCTTCCCTGTTGTCTCTACTAAGAATAACATTTACGGAGATAGAGAAATGGTCCAGCAGTTAAGAGCACCAACTGTTCTTTCAGATGACTGGGTTCAGTTCCCAGCATTCACATGGGTGCACACAACTGACTGTAACCCCAGTTCCTAGAAATCTAATGCCCTCTTCTGGCCTCTGTGGGCACCAGACTCAAATGGGGTAGGTATATATACGTGCACGCAAACCCACTTATCTACATAAAAATCTTAAATGTTTATATCATGATCATTGACACCACACCACGCAAAGAATCCTGACATTAAACCAGGCTCAACTTGAAATTTGCCGAAGATGAAATGAAGTCAAGATTCCTCTAAAGTTCACATTTGAACCATAGAGGGAGAATTGGCTTCTGCATCCTAAGGACTTGGACGAAACACAAGGAAATGTTGCTAGAACCTAAGACCTATGAGAGACTGAATTCTAAGAGGTGGCCCTTCCTGTGGAGAAATGCTGGTGCAATGGAATATCTATGACACCCCGTCACTTGTAGATAGTATTTTCCACTCCATGCAAAAGTGTAGAAGTCAGCTTTGAGTACTTAGTGCATGAGGCAGAATGTGGCTGCGTTGTCAGGAGAGCAGACACATTCTACAATATGCAGAGTTAAGGTTTGGGCTACAATCTATGGATTACTCAAGCTACATGGATCTCTCTCTCTCTCTCTCTCTCTCACACACACACACACACACACACACACACACACACACACCACACTTCTTCAGCTTTATCATTAAATCATAGCCAATTTTGAAAATCCTGAACAATGGTGACTTGAGTCAAACACAACATAGTATAGGAACTGATCTCTCCTACCCTCCTACCTCCTGAATAGCTGAGCTAATGTCTGACTCATTCATTCATTCATCCATCCATTCATTCAATTAATGGACTAACTTAGCAGTGCTGGGGATGAAGAGCAGGAACCTGCCTGTATATTCTAAGTATCTACTCTACACTGAGCCACACATCTTGGCTTGGAAGCTTTGGAATGCCACTTGGTAAAATGTTAATTAGGCCAAGTCTTGCTTTCTTCCATGTTTTCATTTTATATAAATATGATGTTTTCTTTTTTCTTAAAGATCTTAGTCCTTGAAGAGTATTAAGTGTTAGGACTGTGTCACTAGTGAGGAAAAATCCTGAGGAGATGTATTTCTTTATTAGCTGTGCTACCCCACACTTAGGCTCTCTGTAGGAAGTGCAGATCAACTCTCAACGACGATGTCTAAGCTATAGCGGGTGGCTGTCCAGCTGTCAGACAGTGCCATACCCCACTTCTTCGAATGTGAAATGCCTCATTCCTGCCTTATGAGACACTCTGCTTTGTCACAGCTGTTGTTTCCTGTTGTTTCCCAGGCTGGCTTTGAACTTGCTATGCAAGGAGAACGAGCATAAGGGCCTGCTGAGATTTATGAGCTTACCAGAGCCAGCTTTTTTTTTTTTAATTAAAAAAATTAGGTTTATTTAAGTATTTGGTGTATATGTGCACACACATACAAAGGGACACAAGGACATGCATGCTACCACATGCATATGTGTCTAGTTCATAGATGACTGGCAGGAGCTGTTCTCTCCTTTCACCGTGTGGATTCTGGAGACAAGACTCAGGCTGTCAGACTTGGTAGCAAGTGTCCTTAACCACTGAGCCATCTCCTCAGCCCTGAGCTGTTTTGAAGTAATGATATTCTACAGTGTTTTTCTTTCCAAATAATGGACGAGAAAACAAGAAAACATAAATAATGCCATGTACTATACCAGGCACTGATGTAAAAAGTGTCTTGATTTGGACTGGTAGCTATCTTCTGCATAGAGAACAGTTCTTATGAAATGTCAAGATAGAACAGTCACATATTTCTGACACAGGATCTAAGTTGCCTGGCAGACTCCAGTGAAGGCAACACACTGTTTTCAGAGGAAACTGGACTGATTTGACATTACCCAAGATCTGAGAAAGCACCTCAATAACCGAGCCTCACTGCCTCACTGTAATTTCGAAGCTCCCCAACCAAGATTGTTCCTGCCCCACAAGACTGTGTGCTACTTGGCTCATCACAGTCCTGACTCAGGAGGCATCCCAGCAACCACTAAGGACTTCAGAATCAAGACACCTGCCGTCTGAGCATGCAGCACAGTATTACTGTACCATGTAGCAACAATATGTCAGTTTCTTTTCAGCTGGGTATAGTGGCATACACCTTTAATCCCAGCACTTGAATGGCAGAGACAAGTGGATCCCTGTGAGTTCCCAGCCAGCTAGGCCTTCCTAGCAACTCTGACAGTTCTCACTAGGTTGGCCTGGAACTAGTTATGTAACCCAGATTTGCTCTGACCTTGTGGCAACACTCCTGCCTATGCTGCACAAGCACTGTAATTACAAGTGGGTGCTATAATATCTAGATTGCCAGTTTTTAAAAACAACATCTATACAGGGGCTGGAGAGATGATTCAGCAGTTAAGAGCACTGACTGCTCTTCCAGAGGTCCTGAGTTCAATTCCCAGCAACCACATGGTGGCTCACAGCCATCTGTAATGGGATCTGATGCCCTCTTCTGGTGTGTCTGAAAATAGCTACAGTGTACTCATAAACATTATAAAAACCAAACAAAAACATACATACATATATATATATTTTAAAAAACAAATGTTTATGGATGTCGCTAAAAACAAAACCACAAAAAACATTCTTAAATGGTTGGGGGAGGTAGCTCAGTGGTAAAATACTTATTTAACATGTACAAGGCACTGTTTCCCCCCGCACCACTTGGCAAAGGGGAAAAAAAAAAGGAATCCAAACTTACCTAAAGGCTTACTGTCTGTTGTTTGCTCGAGTTCCCTGAAAGCACTGTATTTATCACCAGACTCTGTGACAGAGAGACAGAAGCTCGTTACAGTGAGGAATCCAGAGATCACAGCCGAGAAGCACAGTACTCTGGGCTGTGCAAACATATTTAACACGCGGAGCAGCATCTAACACAGTCAATACAAAGTGAGCCACTTAAAGGTTTATACAACTTAATTAAAAGTTATGGCAGCAGATATATCAACTGATAAACTGTCTTTACCTCCAAATGAAGCAGGGTTTTCAGAGGGCTTGTCAGCGGAAATCCCTTTAAACACTGCATATTTATCTGTGGAGGCTTTAGTTCCAGGAAGTGGGATCAAGAGTGATGGAGCACTGCAAGGAAGGGGAGCACTGCAAAGAAGGGGAAACCTGTGTTACTGCTCAGACCACTGAGCCCTTCCCTCATCACCACACAGGGCTTCGAATGGAGTCAGAGGACACAATTCTCTGCCCTTTCTCTTCCTTCTTTCCTTTCTTCCTAAAAAATTTACTTATGTATGTCAGGCATAGTGGCATATACCTTTAATTCCAGCACTCAGGAGGCAGAGGCAGGTGGACCTCTGTGAGTTTGAGGCCAGCCTGGTCTACATAGTGAGTACCAGGATACCGGAGATACTAATAGTAAGATCCTGTCACAAACACAGACAAACAAACAGACAAACTGTGCAAGTCTGTGGTTATGCCACATGTATTTAGGTATACCCAGAGGCCAGAAGAGGGCATTGGATCCCCAGAAGCTTGCTGTAGCCCCAGCATTCAGGGGGTAGAGGCAGGAGGGTCAGAAATTCAGTGTCATAACAGCAAGTTATGAGCTGGGGACTGGGAATGGAACTCTGTGGGGCAGACAGACTGCCTGGGAAATACCACAGACAGAAATGTAGAGCAAGTTAAGGAAAACAACAAACTCCAAAGTGCTTTACTGAAGTAGGCTGATAGCTGTGGGGATGGGAGGGAGCAGTTTATAAGACCCCACTCCTCCTGTTTTCTAATCCTTTCGCCTGGATGATTGTTGTTGCTAGGCAGGCCTTTTCTCTCCTACTTACTGCCTTTCCCACGAGTAAGGAAACGGCCATCTTTTTTCCCCTATGTTCTCTTAACTTTCCCTCACTATGGAAGAACAACAAGTACTCTTAAATGTAACCACTGAGTCTTCTCTCTAGTCTTTCCTACCAGTAAACAAAACAAAATGGCTGATGAGATTGTTCAGTGGATAAAGTGATCAGGATCTCATGGTGGAGGGAGAGAACAGAACCAAAGGTGGTTCTTTGACTTCACATGCATACCTTGGCACACAAGCACCTACCTCCACCTCACAAAAATAATGTAATTTTTTTTTTTAAAGAGACAATGTGTCATGCATCCTTCATGTAGCTGAGGAAGACACTGAATTTCTGACCAGGACTTCCTATACAACAGGATATGTAGGCTGCCAACCAGGCTGCGCCCGCAGCCCTATGGCTCTCTGCTCAAAAGTTAGAAACTATATATAAACTCCAAAAATGACTAAAAACAATGTCCTTTTTCCTGAAAATAAACATTAACTCTCAGTAACCATTTTTTTTGTCTGTGTGTGTGTGTGTGTGCGCGCGCGCGTGTGTGTGTGTGTGTGACATTTTTAATGATGGTCTGATTGTTGGGTTAAATCATAAAGGCATTGAAAATAGATCATTAAAGAACAACTTCCTGGGGGCTGGAGAGATGGCTCAGTGGTTAGGTTCACTGGCTGCTTTTCCAGAGGTCCTGAGTTCAATTCCCAGCAACCAACAATGGTTCATAACCATCTGTAATGGGAGCCAGTGTCCTCTTCTGGTGTGTCTAAAGATAGCAATAGTGTACTCATATACATTAAATAAATACATACATACATAAATCTTAAAAAAAAAAACAACTTTCTGTGGTTTTTAACTTACAGTTTGCAGTAACTTAACAGTGAGATTCCAAATATGTATACTTAGTATTTAAAGACAAATTACAACCACCTAACATAAGACTTCTTTAAAGAGGGCTCAGGCTGTAGAAGTAAGACAGTTAAGATAAAAGTCTATTTGTAAAATGTTCTTCAAGCCAAGATGTAAATTCTGCTTTTGATCCTTGTGTGGAAGTGTGGACATCTGATAAGCAATGGCAGGCCTAAGACAATGCACATTTTTACAAGGATCACACCAGTGGTACCAGACAGCTCTCTTTGTAGCAAAACAACAGTTACTTCACAATTAGATGAAGATAGTTTTATCTGTGGACATTTTTTTTTCTGGATAGAATAGTGTAATGAGTAGCATCTGCGTAGGCAATTCTTGGAAGACTTGAGCACACTGTAGCAGCCTTCCTTTTTCCTCTTATCAGAGGCAGGCAGTTCCCTGGAAGAAGAACTTTTACATATGAATGACAGCATCTCACCACCAGCCAGTGTCATTCAGTACCACAGCACAAGATATAAAAATGGATTTCTATTGAGGTCTCTGCCCTGCAGCAAAATCCTTTCCACAGTGATTTAAATCTTCTTATCAGCAGCCTACAACCGAGGTAGGAACCAGGCTGTCCTACACGCATGGTAATTGGGTCCACTGTGTTTCAAGACTTAAAGGCATTGGATATTAAAATTTCACATCACCGCCACACGGCTGCTGCTATCTGATCTTGACAAATGTAATAGCTTATCATCTATACATGTAGGTGGATGCTTTTACAGTTCCATAAATAATTAAACTATAGCTCATTGACCAGAACGTTACATAGGAATACAGGTAATTGGTGTTTAAGGACAAAAAGCCCAGGAAACTGGATGCCCTGCCTGCTTTTTGTAACCCTCCAATTTTAGCTATGGTCTTTTAAAAGCTCAGTGGCAAAATCTTTCTGCTAAATGTGACATTTAATTGAATGTAATTAATTTTAAAATTATATTCACAGAATGGGACAAAGAGAGACTCTGCAGGGTAATGAAGCAGCTGATGGAAACTAAGAAAATCCAGTTCCCGTCCAGAACGTTGGCATACACCAATTATACATGCGCACCACAGATCAGGGCTGCACTTCGGTGCCTTTCAGGAGCCGTTATTTTTTTTTAAAGAAGGCTGTAATCACCATCAGCGTGTTTATGCCTATTATGTATAGCAGTCATTATCTGCTTTATACATGAAAACAGTCATTTCTGCTCTTTCAGGGAAGTTCTCAAGTGAGAGGGACACGCTGTTTTGAAATATAAAATCTGCATTCCATTAAAGGCAAAACTGGGAACCTGGTCATCAAAGAACACATCTTGTTTTCCCCAGAGACTCTACTTCCATATAGCTGCTGCAGGTGTAAAAATAAGAAACCACCATTTCAACTGAAGAGTCTGGACAAGGTAAATCTTACTCTTGAGAATGTACCCTGAAGAGCACACAGAGACAGAAAGTGCACCTGGTTTTTATTCTAACTCTGTGGTGACTGAATCTCTTCTCCAATGGCTGGGGGCTGACCTCACTGTATTACTTGATTGGCTAGTTTGTACAGAGTAGGCGCCAGCACAGGAAAGGAAGGAAGGGGAGAAGGTCACTGCTCCAGGCCTTCACATTCCTGGAGTAGAGCAATGGACCTTTTTATTGGGGGGGAGGGATTAAAGTCTACAAGGTGGGGGGACTAGAATTCCTTGTCTCAAACACACATTGTATAGTATGTGACAGAAAAGACTATTTGGTATTTCTTATACAGATATGGTCCCTCCCCACTTTGCTAAATATTAATATTTACAAAGAAATGCTTAGATTACAGTGTGGTGGTACATTATTTAATCCCAGTACTTGGGAGGTAGAGGTAAAGCAGATCTCTGTGGTCTTAGGCAACCCTGGTCTATACAGTTTTAGGATGGCCAGAGCTATGTAATAATGGAGACCCTGTTTTAACAAACAAACCACAGAAAACAAAACCAAAGAAATGCTTAGTTCTCGGCTAAGAGCCCCAAGGTTCCTGGTGCTACAGCTGTGCCAGAGCCTGGTCTGTGTAACTGGCTCTCCTAGCCACCCTCCACCTGAGTACTTTCTGAATACACAGCTGGATGCCTGGGATACTCTCTCTTCCCTGTGTCAAGAACACAGCATTTCCTTGCTGTCACTCAAAACTCAGAGCAGCTCCCTCTGGGCTTACAGTGGGAGAAAAGCTTTTCCTGAAACCATTTCTTACTCTGAGGATGCTTTACAGATGTGAACACAGATCACAGGCTTCCCACAACACGGGCTGCCCTAGCTGCTACAGCTTTCTCTCCAACTTATAGTGCTTCTTGTCAGCCACAGCCACTCCACTGTGTAAAACTTCTCCATTCTGGTTACACACAACAATTACAGAAACAACAGTAAGTTGCCTCTCAGAATTAAAGCAACTTCCTACTTGAGGTTCTTGCCCCTCCCACTCGGCCAGGCCTCCAGTAACGGTGGCCACAGGGATGGTCACGGATCTCCTAACATTCTTTTCCACACTGCTCACCTGTTTCCTAATAACAGGGCCCCCAATGGGAAATTTCAGTCATCTTCCCCCCTCTTTTGCTGCCCCATAACTGTTGGAGGGGGCAGGCTCTCTGGTTTTTTGGACTAGAGAGTTCTCCCTATAGGCCTCTTCCCAAATAAAGCCCATGCTGTGGTAGACATCTGTTCCCTTGTCTGTCTTTCCTTCTCTGACCTCGGGCTTTCCACCCAGTCTACTCCTTAAGCTTCCTTTGTTCTGCCATCTTTGCTGACACCTCATGCCCATTTTCTGCCTGAAGACACTGACCAAGGCTTAGTTATGTTATCGTGACTCACAGACGGCTTTTAAGCTAAATTCATAATACAGAACACAGATGATCACAGTTCAGATCACTCACAGATGTGTGAGTCTCTAGTGTGATCATGTGGTATGTGTATGTAACCCACTTGCACCCCCCACACACTTGAAATCAATCACCTGCGTTAGCTACCATATCTCACATTGAAAAGACTGTGCACAGTCACTGTGCAGCATTGTCTGGATATAAAGACACCAAACTTCGGGCATTTTCAGCAGATACACCATTTTTTTTTTCTGAATATTTTTCAATTTAGCTGACTGAATCTGAAGATTCAACAGACACACAATTCAGACTGAGTCACGAGAGCTTTAAGGGGTAATGCAGGTGCCCAGAGTAAACTGAGCTTCTATATAACGGCAACTGTGGATTTTGGTCTGTATTTTTAGTGTTTCACCCCAGCATCTGGCATATAGTAGCTGCTAAGTAAAGACACGCTGAAGGACTGACTATGTGAACACGAGTGCGGACTTCTAGACAGGAGAAAACTATTTTCATTTAAGGGAAACGGAGATAGTGACATGAGAGCTGTAAAAGGCATGTGCACAGCTGTGTGTGACGATAAGTGACGACATGCACAGCTGCCTGTGACACAGTGCCAGGGGATCGGATGCTCTGTTCTGTCTTCTTGGGCACCTGCACGCATGTGACATATATCCACATAGACAGATAGAGAGATACAGACATACAGATGCACACACATATATACTTTAAAAAACAAACAATAAAACAGTCAACCAATATGATAAACAAAAAAAACCGTAAGGTTAAAAAAATAAAAATCTGTCAAAAGCCCACACATCTTAGGTCTGGATACCATTTTAGAACTTTTACCCAATTTTAACTCCATCAACTGAAAGACCTTTCCCCTACTCACTTGAGAGACGGTTTATAGTCCACAGAGTTTAACATCATCATCTAACAGTTATGTGAGAGCCAAGCAACACTGGGGTGAAACTTGAGAAACACAGAGCATTTCAGTTAGGGTACAGTTAGTAGCAGAAAAGGGGGACGGTAACTTATCTCACACGCATGGGCTGCTGGACGAGTTAGAAAACCCGAGGTTTAGCTGATTTTTGAAATAAGTTTTGAATTAGATCTAGAGAGGCCGACCAGGAATGGTGAGAAGCAAATGTCTCTGGAGGGCTGGACTGCAGACTGCATGAGCCGGGCAGAGCAAGAGCAAACACAAGGCTGCTATGCAGGGAGAGCCGAGCAGAGACAGGACACACGCCTTCAGCCTGGTGACTGGGTGTGGTGAAATCCTGGACCAGCCAAGGAAGATCAGTAATGGTGATGTGACAAATATTTGGCTCTCAGTAGGAAATTAACCTAATTCTGCAGTGAGTTTGAGATGTCTTGCCTGACTCGTAGGATAGGATGTGTAAGTTTTGTCTGAGGGAAGAGGTCTAGGTGGCCATATGATGCAGAGTTTTGTCCTGGTGTGTGATGGATGTGCTGACATTACAGTACTAGACACTGTGTGTCCCTTACACATGTTTGGCATACATTTCTGTTGCCTCACATTGTGACCCAGGTGGGCTCCTTCCTCGTGGCACATCTCCAGCCTCAGATTGCCAAGTGTTAGCCTTATAGGTGTGTGCCACCACGTCTAGCTGTGTAGAATATATTCTTTATATTCTTATTCTCAGAATAATCTATTTCTGGTCTGAAAACTCCTCTCTCCTGCCTATCTTTAGCATGGTATGATGTGGGAGGTCTGACTGGGTAAAATGGGAGCGACAGTACTGACTACACAAACAGACACATAAGAGAAACACAGTATGTGCTCTGTCTGACAGAAACAACTTTCAAAATAAAACCAAATACAGCCTATTGTGTACTCAGTCTGCTCCTCCAATCTGTGGAGGAAGGATCTAAACAGAGAAGGGAGTAGGCAGAGAGGGTGAGATGCTCACAGTGTGCTGACTGAACCCAGGCAGATGAGGTGCTGACGATGTGCTAGCTGAACCAATGACTATCTCTAGGGCCGAGCTTCTCAAGCTGTGGGGCACGATGCCTTTCAAGGCATAGGGAGTGTCAAACGATTCTTTCACGGGGATTGCCTAAGACCATCAGAAAACATAGATCTTTACATTATGATTCATAACAGTAGCAAAATTAGTCATGAAGTAGCAACAGAAATAATTTTATGGTTTGGGGTCAGCACAGCACAAGGAACTGTAAAACTGTATTGAAGGGTTGCAGCATTAGGAAGGTTGAGAACCCCTGCTCTAGAGGAAAACCTAAGTGAAATGTTTGCAGGTCTGTGTGCAAACAAACAGAAATCTGGAGGTCAGAAGCCACTGATGAAGAAAAGACACGTGAATAATTAAAATCCAGGAACCTGAATTACAATTTTATGGAAAATCAGGAGTATGTTATACTATTATAAAATACAAAATTGCATGATCCTGCTTCAAACTTTTTTCAACAGCTGAAGACTGGATCTAATAAGAGAACAGGAAGCCACTGTGGTACAGTCACTCTGCTGTCACAAGACAGGTTTGTTGTTTTCCTTTGTCTCTCTTTCTTTTTAGAGGTTTCTCTGTGGAGTCCTGGCTGTCCTGAAACTCACTGTGTAGACTAGGCTGGCCTAGAACTCACAGAGATCCACTTGGATTCCTTGAAGGGGTGCCCCACCACACCCAGCCCCACAAAGCAGGCTAAAGACAAACATGACAAGCAGGTGTGCACTGGAAGGAAGAGGAGGAGCCAAAGGTCAGGTGGCCACAGAGCACAGAAGCAGAGGGTAGCAGTCTGAATGCCGAGCACAGCCCAGGGGACATGAGAGGAACAGGTAAACCACTGCTCTCTGGACAGGACACTTGTTGTTTTTAGGCTTATACATGGATGCCCTTTCCCTGATGGTAAAATGTAAGGTTAAATATATTCAACTCTGTCCTACCTGTTTCCATGCTGGGAATTACTGGTTTTTGAGGAAGCAGACACCTCTTGGAAGTCAGTGAAAGAATCATCGATGGATCCTGACTTCGAAGCATCTTGAAAATCCTGGAAGTCATCTTCTTCTGTCTTTCCCACCTAGATTTACAAAGTGTTAGAGTCAGGTCACTATTGCTGCGGTGAAACACTGTGACCAAAGTGAGCTGTGGAGAGAGGGTTTCTTTGGCTTACTCCTCCACATCACTGTTCATCACTGAAGGAAGTCAGGACACGGCTCAAACAGGGAAGGAACCTGGAGGCAGGAGCTGATGCAGAGGTCATGGAAGGGTGCAGCTTACTGGCCTGCTCATCATGGCTTGCTCAGCCTGCTTTCTTACTGAACCCAGGACCACCAGCCCAGGGATGGCACCACATGACTCATAACCAGATCTTATGGAGGGATTTTCTCAACTGAACTCCCCTCTTTCAGGTAACTCTAGCTTGTGTCAAGTTGACATAAAATTAGCCAGCACGACTGACCCCTTGTTAACCTGACACACAACACATCACTGCTAAGTCATAACCTTTCCTTTCTTGTTCTTCCCCGAGACCGCACCTTAGTATCAACACTACAACACAAACATCCCAAACTGTAAAAGTTCAGTCTTTAAAAGTTCAGTCTTTTTTAAAAAAATTTATTTTATTTTATTATTATTATTAATTTTTTTTTTTTTTGAGATAGGGTTTCTCTTTATAGCCCAGGCTGTCCTGGAACTCACTCTGTAGACCAGGCTGGCCTCAAACTCAGAAATCCGCCTGCCTCTGCCTCCCAAGTGCTGGGATTAAAGGCGTGCGCCACCACTGCCCGGCTAAAAAAATTCAGTCTTTTAAAAACAGCCATTTCTTTTCAAATCCAAAGCCTCTTAACTGTAGGCTTCTGTAAAATAAAAAATAAAAGACTTTCTTATTTCAAGAGGGAAGGAACAGAACACAGTCACAATCCAAACCAAACAAAACCAAACTTCCACAGTGTAAATAACTCAGTGTCCAATTCTCTGGGACTCACTCCAAGGGGTGTGGTTCTCTTCCCTGGTTCTGCCCTCTGCAGCACACAAAGCTCATCTTCTAGGCTCCAGCTTGCTCCATTCCACTACTGCTGCTGTTCTCGTGGTCATCCCATAGCACTGGGATCTCCAGAACTGCTGTGCTCCCTAGCTGCACTTGAACTGCACTTTCACCAACAGCCCCTCCTGGGCTCTCTTCAGGGACTCCAGCCCTCCCACACAGTGCCAAGCCTCAGCTGTTCTCCACAAACCCTTCACACCTTCAAAATCAGCACTACCAGGGTGACTCTTACATTACAAAGTTCAGCTGTCAGCACAAGGTACAACTTTGGCCATGCCTAGAACACAGCTTCTGTGTGCTAAGTCTCTGGAAACACTTCCCAGAAGACTTCACCTCAATGATGCTGGCCTCTTCTTAACCACAGACGATTCTTCAGCCCCAGCTGACATGCATCCATTGTTCCAGCAAAGCAAGGTTTTATGCTAGTGGTTCTGGTCTTTTGCTAATCACAGCTGATTCTTCAACTCCAGCTGACCAGAAACATAAATTGTTCATACAAAAGGCCCAGTAGAGTCTTTGTTTCCCTCTGAAACTTCACAAGCCAGGTCTCCATCATGTGCATGGCACTCAACATTCTTATCTCCCAAGCTCCTGCATCACACTTCGTTTAGCTGTCAACACGCAATGGCTTTTCTCGCCCAAAGTTTCAAAGTCCTTCTATAATCCTCGCCCAAAACAGCATGGTCAGGTCAGCCACAGCAATATTCTGCTATTCTGGTACCAACTTGTTTTAGGATTCCTCATGCTATGATGAAACACTGTGACCAAAGTAACTTGGAGAGGAGAGGGTTTATTTGGCTTATACTTCCACATCTGTTCATCATGGAAGGAAGACAGGACAAGAACTCAAGTATAGGGCACAGACATGGAGGCAGGGGCTGATGCAGAGGCCATGGAGAAGTGCTGCTTACTGGCTAGCTCAGCCTGCTTTCTTATAGAATCCAGGACCACCAGCCCAGGGATGGCACCACACACTATCACTAATCTAAAAAAAATGCCCTACAGCAAGATCTTATGGAGGCATCTTCTCAATTAAGGCCTTTCAGATAACTCAACCTTGTCAAAGGATATTTACATAGGGAACCTGAGATTGCCAATGTAAATAACTCCTCACCATGCATCAACTTCAGAGCCTTTCATTTAATTGCTCAATTTAATTAGAACTGCCTAATTTCATAATCATGTGTGTGTGTGTGTGTGTGTGTGCACACATGCTGGAATTGAACACAGGGTTTTGTGCATATTAGACAAGTGCTATACCACTGGGCACATACAGCTCCAGGCAAGAACACAACTGACATATAATAACAGAGATGCTTAAGGCAAGAATCCTGTCTCAGGGGCTGGAGAGATGGCTCAGTGGTTAAGAGCACTGACTGCTCTTCCAGAGGTCTTGAGTTCAATTCCCAGCAACCACATGGTGGCTCACAACCACCTGCAACAGGAGCTGATGCTCTCTTCTGGTGTGTCTGACGACAGCAACAGTGTATTCATATAAATTAAAATAAATAAATCTTTGAAAACAAAAGATGCTTTAAAAAAAAAAAGAATCCTCCCCCATATTTTAAAGTACTCTCTGGCACAAATGTAATGAAAGGACTGGCTTAAATAGCTAACCTAACATTTTTAAAGTAGTTGGATTACATTTGTCTGGTTGCTGACAGCAGTGTTTGTGAACAGACATGACATGAGCCCCCCATAACCAGCTGTACACACACATAAAGCAACACCGGCTTCTAGGCTTCCACCCAGAGCAGCAGACTGTTCACAGCCCGTTTGCTTTATGGAACAGGCTCACGTTACACTGTTCGGTACTTCAGAAATGTCATTATACAACAGGGTCATCCTTCCATGCCCTATGGAACGGAGATCCACTCTGTTCATGTTAACGATTACTTTCCACTGTATGGAGAAACCGAAATCATGGAACATTTTCTTTGTGATGAGCAGTAACGTTCTATTCTAACAAGCAGTGTCACTGCTGACATCCTGACTCTGCTAACGTCAGCTGCCATCTCTGAGGAGCATGTTTTCAAATAGTTGTGCCAATAAACCTGCAGGATTAGTTATTTTTTTCCTACATGACACTGTATGTCTATCTGTACATTAAAAATATTGGTTTGCTAATCTGAGAAGTGAAACTTTTAAGACAGGATTTACCATATAGCCCTGGCAGGCCTGGAACTTTCTATGTAAACTAGGCTGGCCTCAAACTCAGAGATCTCCTGCCTCTGACCTCTGAGTATTGAAGTCAAAGGTATGGACTACCATCTCTGGCTTTAAAATCTGTGTGTGTGTGTGTGTGTATGTGTGTGTGTGTGTGTGTGGTATATGTGTGTTTGTGTATGTGTGCATGTATGTGTGTGGTACATGTATGTGTGTACATGTGTAGGAGGACAGAGGTAGATATCACGTGTTTTCCTCAACTGCTTAGTTCTCTACAAATATTTTGTGTATTTAAAAAATAATTAAAAGCAAAAACAAACAATTGAATTTTGTATTATATCAATACTTAAAAATTATTTTATTTTCTGAAGAGCTGGGGCCAGGGTTAGGAGGATCCTAAGTATCCTAGGTGAGAGCTCACAGAAGAATCACACCTCTATTTCCATATCAAGTGTCCACTACAATCCAGCAGACTGAATCTCTGAAGGAAAGCTGCCCACATCCCACATACACTTTCTGGAATGGTCTGGCACACACAGAGCTTCTCCACTTACCTGGTTTGAGGGGTAGGCTGGCATGAAGCCACTGGAAGGTGGTGCTGCAGCTCCACCCACTGGTCCAACAAGGTTAATGCCCATGATGGGCTGTCCGAGGGTGAGGGGCATGGAGCCTGCAGGGCCCGAGGGCATCGCCGTTGGCTGGCTCACTGGGGTAGGCAGAGTCATAGGAAAGCCGCTTAGGGTAGGAATGGGAGCTGCTGGGAACTGGTTCAAAGCATCAGGGCTCATGGCAGGAACACCCCTCTACATGGAACACCAAAAATACGGAAACATTTTAGCCAGCAGCAGACCGATATTCAACATCAGTGCAAGAGAGACCTATAGGAAGCTTTCCTGTTGGTTCTCTTTCTTTGCCTGCTACCAGGAGAACAGTATCCAGGAGGACAACGAAGCAGGATACACGACTGCTCTATATTACTGAAAATGTAATTACACAAGGTACTTTCATGCAGCATCCAAGCTCTCCTCATTTAAAACACCTGATGCTGATACTACGTAGACATGGTCAGCACACATCAACTGTGACATTTATTTTTTTGTCTGATAAGTTTGACTAATTTGCTAAAATCAAAGATCTTAAACTAATTTCAAAATATAAGAAAGCTTGCTACCAGCCTAAGTATACTTTAAGGAGTTCTAAGTAAGGGCAAAAACTGATTTCATCAACTATTTTCACTTTTGAACAAAGGAATAATGTGCTGGGGTGTGAATTACATGGACTGTGTATTTTTGGAAAACTGTATCACAAAGCACCTTAATTTTAATGTACAAGGAAATCTATAAGACTATGACGAAAAGGGATTCATTATTTCAATCTGTAGAAACAACACACTTGTTCTGACATAAGACACACAGTCTACCTGAGTTACTGCTACCATGGCGAGAACGGTATAAAGCTCCTCCTTAGTGAGCTTGCCAGGTGTAGTTCGATTAGCTAAGGCCCATATCTGTCCGAGAGTTTCCCTGGGAAGTCCAGATGACATCAGAATGGGATAAAGTTTACCAGTATCTATTCCAGTTGGAGTCATTGTGGTTTCTAAAATTTTCTTATAGGCATCTATTGAAAGAAAAATCAAATGACAAATGCAAACACACTGCAGGTGGTTGACTTTGCTGCTACCACTGTTGGTATAAAAGAATAATCTTAGGTCAAATTGCTTTAATATAGCTGGCATCTGGCTCAGTGCGGGAGAGGCCCCGCTGCCAAGCCTGATGACCTGAGTTCAATCCCTGGAACCCTCTGACCTCCACACCCATGCAAACCTACACATACATGACTAGGAAAGGCTGCATGCATATATACAGAGGAGAATGAAGGAGAAAAGACAAACTACCAGAAAATGGATACAATTAAAAAATATACTAAGATCTAGTTTCCGAAGGGTTTAAAGAGAGGAAAGGAAAGAGATTCAAAATGGGCAGACTGGGTCCCACATGGTTTGGGAGAATATCTAGCCTTTGAATTGTGGCTGTAAGATTAAAATACAAAGCAGACATTTACCAATTTCTCCCAGAAAGAAATTCTTCTGTAGAGATCTTACTTCAACATTTATTCAAGTGTAGAACAATGTTTGCCTGTACCAGCCTTAGCACTGGTGAGCTAATAGACACACCTCAGCGTATAAGGCGCTGTACAGCAAACCAAGCAGCTATGATTTACTAACCTCAGCATCTGCTGCTGAAGGACTATTATTTCTGTGTCTATTGATCGTGGCTTAAACACACTATCATCTTGTATCTACTGAGAACGACCATACTATCCATTTTAGTAATTTCTTCAACTCAACAATAGCAATACACATTAAAAAAAAAACAACAAAACTCCCAAACACCACTTTCCAATGTAGAAAATGATGTTACCCAATCTTTCATTTCATATAATATTTCATATTGTTTCATAGGACAATCAGAAAAAAGAATATTTAAAAAAATATAACCCTTAAGAATGCACAAAGTTACCGGGTGGTGGTGGCGCATGCCTTTAATCCCAGCACTTGGGAGGTAGAGGCAGGTGGATTTCTGAGTTTGAGGCCAGCCTGGTCTACAGAGTGAGTTCCAGGACAGCCAAGGCTATACAGAGAAACCCTGTCTCAAAAAAACAAAAACCAAAAAACAAACAACAACAACAACAACAAAAAGAAAGAAAGAAAAGAATGCACAAAGTATTAACAAGATACTTTAAAAACTGTATGTGTATAGGTGTTGTGTCTGCATGTCAATCTGTGTATACATGCATGTCTAGTGCCTGAAGAGGCTGGAAGAGGATAGTTACGAGTCATAGTGTGGGTTCTCCCAAAACCGTGGTCCTGGAAGACCAGGTATGCTCTTAACCACTGAATCATCTCTTTAGCCACAGTATTATGATTCTTGATAGGTTGTTAGTAGCCTTTGAAATAAGTATCTGACAATGTCATTTAAAACACAATGACTCTAATGGCTTGGCCTTTGCCCCGTGAACAAAGCAGTCTCGATATAGCAGTCTTTTTTCTTTCTCTTCTTTTCTTTCTTTTCCCTTTCTCTTTTCCTCCCTCCCCCTCTTTCTTTCTCCTTTTTTTGAGACAAGGTCTCACTGCATAGCCCTGGCTGTCCTGCCTGGAACTCAGAGAGAGCACCAGCCTCTGCCTGCTAAGTGCTCGGATTACAGTTGTGCATCACTGTCCCCAGCCCAAGAAGTAGTCCTAAACACCAGGTTGGGTTAGTGTTCTACACTCTTGGAGAAAAAGCATAAGTAGCAATTCCTTCTGCATATCTTACAACCACTACAGTCAGTATTTAGAAATATCTCTGTAACATTTAAAGTCAAATATCCAGAAGGGGGATGCTGGGCAAAGCAGCTTTACTTTACCTGGAACCAAACTCTCATTGTAAATCCAAGGAGGCATTCTGGGCTGAACAGGATCCTGAGAGGGAAACATGCCCACACCTACAAGGTAAGGATGTTAATATACACATGGTCTGGAGACAAGTCACCACTTTTTACACAGAGGAGTACTGGCTGGAGACACTAGAAAAAAGTCACCAATATAACTAAAGTACTTGGTTTCCAAACAAGTCTTGTTCAGTAATTATGCATTAAAGTGCAAAGAAAGTGCAAATCAGTGATCTGGGTTGTAGGAGGTTTGCACATCTAATGTGTATGACAAGCTAACAGGAGAACACAACAGGCCGTGGCTTAAAATTACACATGCAGAACATCCCCCTGGGGTTTGTCTCCAGGGCTGCCTACATTCTGATTCGTCTCTGCAGTTAAAGTTTTGAATTCAGCTTTTGCGTTTTGGGAACAGGATGGGGCCATGCAGGTACCAAGCTTGTGTTCCACTGCAGGCTAAAGGCCTGTTTGTCTCTCCTCTGCACTGGGGGCTCATATCCAGAGCCTTGAGTGTATGGATCTGGATCTTTCAGGCAGCAATGCAAACTATTTAGATCAGAGGGGGAAACTACATTTTCTTTTTTTTTTTTTTTTGTTTTTTTTGTTTTTTTTTGTTTTTTGTTTTTTTTTTGTTTTTCGAGACAGGGTTTCTCTGTATAGTTGTGGCTGTCCTGGAACTCACCCTGTAGACCAGGCTGGCCTCGAACTCAGAAATCCGCCTGCCTCTGCCTCCCAAGTGCTGGGATTAAAGGCGTGCGCCACCACCGCCCGGCGGAAACTACATTTTCATTGGTGACTTTTCCAGTTATAATTGAACTTTTTAACCTTTATGGAAAACCAGAAAGTATGAGGGGAATCAACAGGTGCTGGTATAAAAATGAGGAAAGTTTAGGTCAGGAGTGATTCTGATTAGGAAGCAGGGTTACAACCAACATCATTTGAAAAGGAGTAACACAGTGTATTCAAAGGAGTCAGAGAAAAATCTTAGGGGTTAATCGGAGAAAAGATTGCATAAAATATTTAAGCAAAATTGTAATTAGCATAATCAAGCAGCATTCATTTTAAGATTAATGCTTAAAATGTTAGAGTCTGAGCGGGAGTTGGTTAAATAGTGTGCTGAATGCCCAGGAGCTCACCACTCTCTTCCTTTGACAGGGTTTGATCTGAAGTCCTTTCTGCCTCTGCAGTGGTGGGACCACTCACACATCCATCTACAGCACCCCCGTTATGGGCCATTAAACCGGGGCACTTCTTACTGGAACCTGGGACTACGGCTTTGTGCCCAGCTTCAGGAGTATCTAATTTAATGTGTTCCTGCCCAGATGCACTTATATCACAAGACACTAGGAGCTTCTCTTCCAAGGAAGGGCCTAAACAAACAGCATGAAGGATTATTTGTATATTACTGCATACACCAAGCTTTTCTTCATCCCTCCCCGCCCCCGTATTCTCAGGGGAAGGCCTCCCCACAGAGCATGAATTATGTAATAATTCACTTGCTACCCATCTGTGTAGGATTTGAGAGACTTCAGAGGTTTTAGAGAACTTAAAATAATAACCTTACTCTAGTTCTTAGGGAACTTACGCCAGGAAGTAAACAAACACAGTGGGGGAGCACTGCTGTGGGAAGGTGGCAAGCTTCCACAACCAGACAGACACCCCTCTTAGCTAGTGGGAGCTCCCTGTCTGGCCTGGTCACACATCTGCTGAACGGCAAGTCTTAAGACTAAGTACAGGTCTCCCAAGACCCTTCCCCACACACCATGTCTTGAGATACTGTGCCTGCTCCACAATTTCACACATGATAAAAACTAAGTACAGAAATCTTTAAAGACTTGTGCAAGGCCAAAAAGCATCACTGCAGTAGGCAGGCCTCAAACCTAAGCAGACTCTCCTGCCTCTATCTGCCTAGTGCTGGGATTACAGACATGAGCCACCACATCCATCTTATAAGGGGCCCTTTCCTCCCTCCCTGTTTCTGAACCAGGGACTCATGTAGCCAGGTTGGTCCTGATCCATATAGCTCAGGATGTCCCTGAGCTCCTTCTGATCACCTCCGTGTCTTAAGGACTGGATTACAGGTGTGTGCACCACAGGCGGCTGGAGAGATCACATTTTAAAGGATTTGTATGTATTTCCTGTGTGCACGCTGGCCCATGTGTGACAGTGAGACGACAACATGTGGAATTCACTCCTCCCCTTCCAGAATGTGCTCTGAGGGTAACCTCAGTCAGCAGGCTTGGTGGCAAGCACTCTACCTGCTGAGCCACCTCAGTGAACTGAGCCACTGCTCCCGCTTTGTTTATTTTTAACATTTCATTGACTCTTTGTGTAGAAAGATTGCTTTTTAAAGGAGCCCTCCCCATCACGTTCATCTTAACATAATCTTAGGAGGCCAGTCTGCTCCTGAAGTCTCTCCTGTTTCTAACACACAGCAGTGAAAGGCTTTCAATCACTTTTCTGGTAAACAAGGATACAAAAACTAATCAAGCCTTGTGTTGGTGGCTGTCAATGGTTCTCATAAATCACATATGGGTTGGTTGGTTTTTTTTTTTGTTTTTTTTTTTTTGACAACAGCACTGTATCCTCTACATAAGTAAGAGAAGTAAATTATCCTAGAATATCTTAACACTTTGATAATAACACCAGGAGTTACCTGCTTTCTGCACACTGTGGGAAGCTGAGGCAGCAGATAAATAATGAATTTGCCCATGGACACCATGTAAGGCAAAAGACACTGGAGCCTGAGCTGGAGGTAGAGGCTGTGCCCCAGCCTTCTGTGTGTGTAACTGGCCGAGTGGGGTGCTGGGGAGGAAAGACTGAAAGGGCCGGGCTGTGGAAGGAGGCCCGCAAGTGGGAAGCTCAACAGGCCCCTGCATAAAGCCACTGAATTCGTCTTCGCCAAGAAAGGCAGATGATGGGGAGACAGTTTTAGTAGAATGAGATGTGGGGCAGTCTGCAAAATGGAAAATGGCAATGAAACACACGGGAGTGAAAACCAGAGGGAGAGAGGCATCCAGATGCGACAACCCACAGAGCACGCCCAAATACAAACAGCAGAGGTGACACCCCTCAGAGCACGTTCAAATGCGAACAGAACAGCAGAGGGGAGCAAGAAACAACAATAGCCAAGGGAGTATGTCTGCTTTGTTCTACAAATAAGCTCAGGAACTAGTCTACATTTGGTTCAAAACAGACAAAATTAACTCAAATTTCCGTCCTTCATTTTATTAGGTAGCATTAATTGTGCATCAAAGTGACAATTACTTCTGAAATCCAAGTGGTCTGTCTATCTAGAAACTATTTCCTTCTTTTCTTTGTTTTTTTGAGACAGGGTCTCTCCACTAAGCCCTGGCTGTCCTGGAACTCATTCCTTAGATCAGGCTAACCTTGAACTCACAGAGATCTCTCTGCTTTTGCCTCCTGAGTGCTCAGATCAATGGCATGCATCACCACATTCACATTCAACCCTAGAAAGATCTTTCAACCCCACCCCACCCCACCCCATAAGAGTGCTGCATAAAATGAACGAAATTCCACTGCTCTGTATGAGTGCTTGGGGTTTGAATTCAGGTCCTCATGCTTTCATGGCAAGAGCTCTTACGAGGAGCCATCTCCCCAGCCACAGTGTGGCTTTTTATCACTATGTGTGAGACTCACTCACATACTAAATGTGCTCTACAAGAGCTACATTTAACACAGAGCTCACTGATAGTTCCATTTCATTTTGTTTGTTTGGTTGGTTGGTTTTTGTTTGTTTATTTATTTATTTATTTATTTATTTATTTATTTGAGACAGTGTTTCTCTGTATGCTGGCTGTCCTGGAACTCACTGTATAGACCAGGCTGGCCTCAGAGATCCACCTGCCTCTGCCTTCTGTATGCTGGGGTTCAAATGTATGCGCCATCACGACTAGCTGTTTCTTCATATTTTTAATCTGTTTGAATTGCTTTACTATCTACTAATGTCTAATGTAACAAGGAACAGCCTCTCATTGGAAAAAGATGGTGGTAATTCCAAGCTTGTTACTTAAGACCAGTAGAATGAAATCTGGAATTACCAAAAGTTATATGAAAAATGAAAATGAATATGCAAACATATTGCTGTAATTTTTTTAAAGAAGAAAAAGGTCATGTAACATTGAACCCCATGCTTCCCAACAAGGGCTGCTGAGAGCACAGGTTAAGGTTCTCTGTGGGTTCTCAGCTGCTTTGGATGTCTTAAGACTGACTGGGTAAGCTTTGGGAATAGCTTCCTCAGAACAGTCTTCTGGAAGAGTAGAAACGGCTCCACTTAGAAGTGTCATCTGTAAGTGTGCTGAACTCTGGCAATCTGAATAACACACCAATTGATTACCTCACACATCTTACTTGCTGCTAACTGCTGACCACAGCTTTGTGTTGACAAGGAAACTTGGTGTGAACACAGTGTCTGACCTACAATGGCCACTGCTCTCTGTCTTTTCTACGTTCAGTGCCAGGTTCAGTTTTAGTCTTAACTTGCAATGTTTGTTTGGGGACAGGGTCAGCTACATAGCTTGGGTTGGCTTAGAACTTGCTATGTATATACTTTGGGCTAGCCTCAAGCTCACAGCTTCTCTATCTTAGTCTCTTGAGTGCTGAGATTTCAGAGATGTGCTACCATGCTGACTGAATCACTTCATCACTACCTTGTTTGGCTTACGATTTTCAGTTTTAAATATGCTTTTCCTGATCCGAAAATGATTGCTAAAAGCTTTCTCCTTCCAGTTTCAGTGTGTACTTTACTTTGGGCATGATTTTGGTAGTAGGAATCAAGGTATATAATCTAATCAGTGAATTAACAGGACAGAGATAAAACTGAGCCAGAAAAATCACAAATTAATAACAGACTGCAGAGGTGGCTCAGCAGTTGAGAGCACTTGCTGCTCTTACCAGGACCTGAATATGGTTTCTGGTGTCCATATCAATTTCATAATAGCATGTCGACTCCAGGTCCAGGGGATCTGACAGACTCGGTGAGCACACACACACATATATATACACACACTCACACACGAAAAAATAAATACTTAAAAAAAAGAACTGATAATATTGTCAACATTAGATTATTTTCTCCTGATATTAATTTATAAGAGATATTAAATCACAAGCATTTAAAATAAAACTTACTGATATATTTTCTAGCAGAAGATAGTACTTTTTGGCTTGCTGAGTGATTTATGAAAATTGTCTATTAATGGTACATTATAATTGAAGTTACCTTATAAAAAAACATCGAAGTATTTAATTTTAAAGAGATGAAAAACATTTTGCATACAGGACAATTTCAACCAAGTCTTTAAAATGATAACAAAACAAAAATATCCATTTACTCTGCTTCTCTAAGTTTTATTTGATTATCTCAGGATTAAAAACTACAAAGAGATTTACTGAAAGAAACTGAACTTTCCTGAGTTGTATTTGATTACTAAGGAACATCACAGCCATGACTATTTTCAGAATTTCTAAATTTTGTCCCATGAACAGTGAAATTTGAACTAGCTCCTAAAAGTACCAATGTCATAATAATGAAGATGGACTAGTAAGCTTACTGTGTTTCTTTGGGTCAACGGGCTATTTTTTTTCTGATTTCAAGACAGGGTCTCTTTCTATGTAGTCCTGGCAGACCAGGCCGGCCTCAAACTTAGAGATCCTCTTGCCTCTGTCTCCCAGTGAGTACTGGGATTAAAGGTGTGTACCATCATGCCCAGCACAACAGACTGTCTTCCGTCAGTACACTCACTGTGAAAACTTCACAGGGAAGTTATCAAAGCTAACTCTAACTAAAGGGCTTGACTGGGTCAGATCCCTACATTTAAAAATATTCAAATCTGAATTTACCTTGAAGGAAAAATTCAGCACGGACCTTCACATGCAAAGGCCAATTAAACACAGGGAGATGATCAACCACCTTTTAAGGAAAGAACACTTCCTGTCTCTTAAAATGAAAACTACCTGGTTTCTTTGGGTGTGATGCCGGAGTGGGGTGCATCTTAGCATCTCTGGAAAACCCATCCAAATTTCCTTTTATGGCTTCCAAAGCATCATCTCTGTTCTTCTCTCCTGTCTGCAAGACAAAGATTGTGTTTACTTTTTCCCTTTTTAAACTAAAACCCAGACATCTATTTCCAGTAACCTTTTCTTCTTCTTTTGTTTTTGTTTGTTTGTTTTGTTCTGAGGCAAGGTTTGCCTTAGAGCTCTCTGTCCAGCCCAGGCTGGCCTCAGACCCATGCAAGGCCACCCTCTTGCCTTTGACTTTCAGGTACAAGAATGCGGGAATGAGCTGCTGCACCAGGATTCAGGCCCAGTATTCTCACAGCACACTTGCAACAGTTAACTTTCAAAGTCAGAAAGATATCAATAAGTATATAAAATAATACATAAAAAGACCTTCTATACAGTATAAAAACTTTAAAAGGTTCATAATCAAATACTATTACACAGGGTTGTGAGATACTAAAAGTTCTATGAGGATCCTGACAAATCCAATTCCTATAATCAATCAATGTTTCCCAAGAAAATGATTACCAATATTGTCATGGTGGTTAAAAAAAAAAAAAAAGTTGAGAATGGCCCAATAGAGATCTGTAGAGAAAAAGAAAAACAATTCCCTTTAGGACTCAGGCAAACCATGATGTAAGGAAATCCACTGTAGCCCAGCTTAGGCTGCCTGAGTGAGGAGGCATGCACAGGGCAAGCCAGCCCTGGGAGGAGACCGCGGGGGCATCACCTTGGGCTTCACGCTACTGAGAAGTCTGAGCTTTTGTTTTTGCTCTTCAAACTGACGTCTTTTTCTTTCTTCTTCTAAGAGCTTTTGTTGCTGTTCAAATCGTTTTCTGAAGGGAAAACAATTACATCAACATTCAGCCTCAGGGAGTAATGCTACTTTCTGATTTATACTGTCAGCTTCAGCAATACCAACTTGCATTTCTAGAATTATAATCTTTACTCCTAATTATATGTAATTCTCTTATGACAATCTGTTTCTTCTGTAAACTAGCTCTAAAATACTTTAAATCAATCTACAGAATGATTCACTTAATTTACATTTATGCTTTTATTCCTTACCTAATTTGCAAGGCAAAGAGCGTATCCTTTTTTTGGGAGGGGGAAGGTAGGGGCATGAAACCTGGGGCCTCTGCACACCACACATCATCCAAGTGTGAAGAGGGAAACCCACCTCTAGGTGGAGACAAAGGATCCTTTGTCTGCTTCCTTAAGGATTAACCCAACAAGGTAAGGCCAGGAACCTTGGCTCTGGGACCACCCCAGGAAGACAGGTTCACTTTAAGGGAAAGTTCTCCAATTGGTCACCTAAGACCAAGCGGTCAGCTCTGAATTTATATACATACAAGGGGAACTAAATGGACTGAGTAGGTTGCACATAAGCGGCCATGAATTTGAGAGAGCAGGGGTGGGGGAGGTATAGACAGGAGGGAAGAAGTGTACTCAGGGAGGAAAGAGAAGGGCGTGCGTGGTGTGTGTGATTATGCTTAATTTAAAAATATTTTTAAAACCATTAGTTAAAGACAGATGCCATTCCCATGGTGGTTTGAATAGCTGTGGCCCCGTGGAGTCACGTGTTTCGATGCTTGGCCATAAAGAGTGGCACTATTATCTGGCCTTGACGGAGGAAGCGTGCCACTGTGGAAGCAGGCTTGGGGGTCTCCGAGGCTCAGCCACACCCAGAGTGGCACGCAGTCTCCTGTTGCTTTCAGATCAAGGTGCAGAACTCACAGCTCCTTCTCCAGCGCCATGTCTGCCTGGATGCTGCCATGCTCCCTGCCATGATGATAATGGGCTAAAGCTCTCAAACTGTAAGCCAGCCCCAATTCAATGCTTTGCTTTATAAGAGTTGCTTCGGTCATGGTGTCTTGAACCCTAAGATAATGCCTTTCCTTCCCAGAATCCCCTCCTCCTGTTGCAGTCCCTTCAAGGTGCCCATCTTTCTGAGGCTTGACTCAGAAAGATGTAATTTTTTTTTTCCTTCTCTTCTGTCTTTTTCTTCTAGCCAGAGCTAAGCTCCCTAACACCTTGGGCTTCCTTGCTGTTTCTAAGGTTCCCTTGCCCTGCCACATGGCTGCCTGTCACTATGACAAGCTCATCCTCTCTCTACTCCAGGCGGAGTGAGAGTGACAGCTTGCCTGCTCGTGAGTTTTTCTTTTACACTCTAATACACTGTCCTTAAGCTTCTGATTGATCCTTAAAATTTTCTTTGTGTCCATTTCTTATCAGAATGGCTAAGAACCCCAAGAGGGGACCCCAACTCCCCAGGTACCATATGATGGCTCTGCTGAGATTCCACAAGATCTCCAACATTATTTCTTTCTTGCTTTTCAATTCTTTAATTAGCAGAGAACATGAACCCCTTCCTGCACTCCTAGACGGTCTCACCAGCATCAGAGGAAACAATCTTGGTGTGCTGAGCAATTACAAAAACCAGGGAGGCAGATGAACATAAAATCATGCTTTGTTCTGTATATAAGAAAGTAATCTGCGGGCTGGAGGTAGCTCTGTGGTAAAGCCCATGCCTAGCAGTTAGTATGGTACCATCAAACAGCAGCAGTAACACCAATCAATGTAGGAAGCTGGATCTAGAGACAAAAACCTATAAGCCTAGCATTTGCAAGGGCTGGGCACAAATACTGCAAATTCATGGCCACATGGGTCTTTTTTGGTACTCTGATTCTGGAAATCAAAACTAACAAACAAAAAGATAAAAACCAACCAAACATATAGGAAATTTCCTTGGGAAGGAAGACAGTGTCTCCAGGAGCAAAAGCCATGCTCTGAGGAGCAGGAAGGAGTCTGGGGGACAACCAGCTTTGTTACTGTCTTTGTAACCTGGGTTGACAAACTGCTTCTCTGGTTCTCCCCTCCCTCAGAGAGAAAACATGAGGTTTGAAACAAAAGATGTGTAAGGGCCCTTTTGGAACCAACATATTTTGTTTTTTGTTTTGTTGTCTATTGTCCTACCTGGCCTTAAACTCACATCTCTCTCACCTGAACCTTGGGAGAGGTCAGTTTACAGGTAAGTGCCACATTATTCGGTTGGCTCTAAACTTCTTATAGAAGTATTCAAAGGGCCCTGTCTCAAAATCAAACAACAAACAAGCCTATTTTTAAAGTTTCCTTAAGAATGTATTCCCTTCGGCTTCATATTACAGAATACTTAACAATCTATAGAGTAGCGGCTACAGTGTAACCCTGACCCCTGGGCCCTGGGAGTCTCTTACTGTTGCTCTTCTGCAAACTGCTTCTGCATGTCTGGAGTGTACTGTGGGCCTGCAGGACGCATGCTCAGGAAAGGCGGCTGACCCAGGAAAGGCACACCCGCTGCTGGCATAGGCCCCATTGGTATTCCTGCCTAGAAGAAACAGGCAACAGATTAAATAACACATGGGTTTTCTTTTAATTATTGAAAAAGCAACTTTCAAAATTACTTCATAGTATTTTTCTTAGTAAGATATATGATATATGATATATTCTAGTGAAATATTAAAAAAAAAAGTAGGCTGAACATTCCTTTAGAATCAGAGGACACCATTGGTATAAGCTCCTTCAGGCTGTGTGTAGAAACATGTAGTTATACTCCGGTGTGTTCAGTAGCCCTCATGGCATAGGTATGCATGTGTGTTTTCCCACTATCAGTGAATACCCTGGCATATGGCAGTCATCCCACAGGTAATGCTGAACTTAATCCCCAGTAGTTATAAGATAATGAATATTCTGGAGTGGCGAGATGGTTCATTAGTTGCACTTGCAGAAGAACTGGCTTTGATTCCCAGCACCCACATGATGTCTTGTAACCATCTGTAACTCCAGTTCTAGGGATTGGATGGCCTCTTCTGCACTCAGCAGCCTCCAGGCACATACGTGACACATAAACATAAAGGCAGGCAAAACATTAATATACATAAAATAAATAAAAATCCAATAAAAGATAAATATTTTGATGTTCATATCATAGCCATTAATAACCTAAACTTTTACAGAAAATAGCAGATCTAATCAATAGCAATTTATATATCAATACAATAATATACCCTTATCGGAAGCATCCAGAAATAAGAATTCTTCAGCACAATATTCACTCACAAAGTCTTTAGTCAGAGTAACAAAAACAGCATTTTTTTCTGAAATTTCTTCAATCTGCTGTGTCACTTTTTATAATTTTGAGTTCCCTATCAAGATTTTTCTACTTCAGCTTTTATTTCTTAGATCATAAAAAAATATAGTTCCAGAACAAAAGAACACATAGTTCTACTGTCTACTCTGCTAATTCCAATACCTAACATTCATTTTGTTTAGAATAATTACTGTGGTGGTTTCGCTGAGAATGGCCCCCATAGGCTCATAGATTTGAATGCTTGGTTCTCAGTTGGTGGAACTATCTGGAAAGGATTAGGGGGTGTGTCATGGGGCAGGCTTTGATGCTTCAAATCCCAGCATCATTCCCAGCTAGCTCTTTTTATTTGCCCCCCACTTGTGGATAAGGATGTTACCTGTCAGCTTCTGCTGCAGTGCCCGCCCGCCAACCTCCCTGCTGCCATGTTTCCCACCACAATGGTCATGGAATTGCCCTCTGAAATTGTAAGCACCTAAAAAACACTTTCTTTTATAAGTTCTTCATCATAGTGTTTTACCACCGCAATAGAAAAGTGATGAAGATAGTTCCCTACCACGTGTGAGTCTTTGAGTTTGAACTGTAAATAGCATACATCTACAATTCCATCTACTTGGGAGGCCAAGACAAAGGGGATCCTTTGAACCCACATATAATAAAACTCCATTAAAAATGCAAACTATTGCTAAAGACAACATCAAGACATTGCTCTTGACACGTAGATCCCCAGAAACAAGCAATAACTTGATAAACTATCAACTAAGAAGCAAGTACCTGCATTGCAATGGGTCCTTGGGACATCTGAGAGCTGTAGTTCATTCCCATCATCCCTTGCATATTGGGCTGCATGACAGAGACCATAGGAAATCCTTGCTGTTGCATTGGAATCAGGCCTGCTGGAAAACACCAAGGCTTTATTAAAGTCAACATGTTAGAAGGTTTCTTTCCTTCAAACTGGAACATCCAGACGACTCACTAACTGAAAAACTGTATGTTACAATGGAAAGAGCACAAGGTCCTGATGAGACGGGTGTAAGTGAGAATTCCATCATCTACTTAGTTATGCAATCCTGGGCAAGCTGTAGAATTTCATTTGTTAAATAAAAATAATAGTGGTTCTGCAGAACTTGAATGTGGGTGTGCATGGCCTATATACAGTACTCGGTCTTCACCACGGACCCAGCGATTTCTGCCTCACTGGTATTCCTAAGCTTGTATCATTTCTTCTCATGCTGACCTCGTATAGTTAGCAGGATACTGTGGTGATGACAGTATGTAACTCCCAGCCTTGTTCTTTTTGAGAGAAGATCGTATGTGACTGAAGGGGTGGCCTGACAGACCCTCCTGCCTCCATCTCCCAAAGTTGCAACTGCAGATGTGTGCACCGCTCCTTGGCTCCCACGGCTAGTTGTTGGCTTCTTCTTGCTTTCTTGGAGCACTTGTGCTGGGAGAGGCACTGCTGCATCCCAGGAACAGCACATCTTTCCACTCCATCAAACTTTCCAATGACTGCAGCTCTGCCTGACAGCTTTACTACCACTCACAAGATGCTCTGAGCCAGAACCGCCAGCAAAGCCAAGCTCAAATTCCTGACTCACAGGCACATAACAAAATAACAAAATGCTTATTTTGTAAAGTTTTGGGGTGACCTACTATATAACAGTAGATAATAACACTGAAGACCATGAACTCTGGAAGTCAAATGAGTGGGTTACTTTCTATCTATTGGGTTATTTGCTCACTCCCTCACTCCGGGATTCCCTACCCCTTCTCTAAAACTCACTATATAGCCAGGCTGGTCTCTAACTTCCTGAGAGCTGGGATTACAGATGTATACCACCACTCCTTGTTTTTCTTAACTTCATTCTGTACCTTCGTTTATCATCTGTAAAACTGTTTAATGCGTATTATGTCAAAGTAATGCCATTTTTCTTCCCCAGCCTTACATGAACACTTACAGCTATTGTTGTGTGAAGCAAACATGATATGAGGACAGGAAAACCATGGGGAACATCTCAGTACATGAGAATCTCCTAAACTTCTCCAATGAAATATTCCCAATAGCACTTTGGGGTTTAGTAAATGATCAGTGTCTCCTATAATAGGGGACAGTTCCGTATGCCTTATGCATGGCAGTGAATAAAAACATAGCTTGAGCACAGATTATGTTCTAATTTTGTATTTTACCACACCCTGCAATCTCATCGATTCTGTCAGGCATGCACAACCTGTGGGCTGCATGCAGCTGATCTAAGGATAATCATCAATGCAGCCCAATATAAAAATCACCAGGTCACTGTTCACCACAAGAACATTGTAAAAACTTGATTAACACAATGCCGCAGGTAATGAGAAGCTTTGCTTCCTGGTTTATTTTTGAGAGAGGGTCTTACTGTACAGATTAGGCTGGTCTCAAATCACAGAGATCTGCCTGTCTCCCTCTGAGTGCTGGGTTAAGAGTATGTACCATCATGCCCAGCCCATATTCTCATATTCTCATATTCTCATATTCTCATACTCTCTCTCTCTCTCTCTCTCTCTCTCTCTCTCTCTCTCTCTCCCTCTCTCCCTCCCTCCCTCTCTCTCTCTCTCTCTCTCTCTCCCTCCAAATACTCAACTGAAAGAAGTACAGAAGCTGTCATGTGGAAACCACCTGCAATTCCAGCACTGGGTAGGCTAGGGCAGGACAGAGGTTAGAGGCGGAAATATACATAAGTCAGATGTTATTTCAAAAACCAAACATATACTACACAGTAAAGGGAAAGAACAATATAGCACATCTCTCTTGTTTCATCATTTGCTCTCTATGTTTCTTATTGCCTAATTTCAGAAGCATAGACATTTGCATCGACAGGTAACAGCTGGCAGAGGCAGACTACTTGTTGACCCATTCAGTGCTTTGTTCAAATTCTCAAGGTCTACGCCATGGCAGCCAGCATCCTAATAGCACAGCAGTGAACAGATCCAGGGCTTCACCCTATGGAAATCATGCTGTAACTGGAGACAACAAACAACAAAAGCAAAAAACCAAACCCTACAGGTGAAGTCATGGTAAGAGCTGGGGCATGAGGCAAAGCAGAACACTGGGAAGCCAGGAGCTGGAGGACAGCGCTCCATCTTCTGTGGCATGGTTTTCTGAGCAGGGGCCATGAGCACAAGGACCTGAAGGAAGGAAGGAAGGAAGGAAGGGAGGGAGGGAGGGAGGGAGGGAGGGAGGGAGGGAGGGAGGGAGGGGACAGCAACACCGATAGCCAAAATAGAGAATCTCAAAGGACACCAAAGACAGAGACTGTGGGGTCTCGTTGGTGACCAGAATAGCCTCAACGCAGCCTGTTCCTCTCTCATCATTATGTCCTAATGGTCATTCTACTTTTGAATGGGTAATTTAGGTATTTAGTATAACATTTAAAATATAGAAGTATATAAAGTGAAAAGTAAGTTTTCTCTTCTCCCTTGATCAAGTACACACGGTACTGTGGGCAACACTGCTGTTGTAAATGTTTTTAGAAACGATCTGTGCTTCAAGTCTTCAAATGATTAAAAGTCCACTCTAAAATACTTTTTAAAAAACCCTCATGCTGGACTAGGTGGCACAAGCCTGTGATCCCAGCACCCTGGAGGTGGAGGCAGCAGGATCAGGAGTTCAAAGTCATCCTCAACTTCAGAGTGAGTTCCAGAAAAGCCTGGGGCACATGAAACCCTGTCTCAAAAACAAAACAAGAGCTGGTGAGGTGGCTCAGTGGTAAGGGGCTTGCTGCCAAACCTGACAACCTAAGTTCAATACCTAGAACCTTCATGGAAGGAGAGAACCAACTCACATGGGCTATATCCTCTTACCTCCACACACTCACCCGCCACGGAACTGATACACAGACACAAACAACATCAATTTTGAAAAAGAAAAATCACTAAAAACAACAATAACAATAAACCCCTCCAAAATGATGGTTAGGAGCACTTGCTGCTCTTGACAGAGGGCCTGGGTTCAATCCCCAGCACCCACATGGTGACTTAAAAACCACATATAACTCCAGTTCCTGGTGATATGACAATTCTTCTGACCTTCATAGACATTCATGTCATACACAAATACACACTCAGGCACACATACATACAGACACATAAATACATACACACACAAATAAATGTCATTAAAAATTCCATTTAGAAATAAAAGTATCAAGCAATCCTTGGATATTTTTTGTTCATTTTCTGTATTCCATATGTGGATTTTTACATCAAAGTGTTAAAAAATGTAAAGCAATTAACTACATATGATGACAAACACAGTTTTGTAAGTACAGAATACCTTAGACCATTTGATAGCAATCTGGGACACCTGAGCACAGCTGGCTTAGGAAACACACACACACACACACACGAAGTGAAAAGAATATAACTGACCCTTGGAAAGTTGGCCTGAAACTCAACCTCTCCCACTGATGGAGACAAAGTCAGAGTCAGCTGCTTCCATCTGCTTGGAGTGCCCTTATCTCTCATCTCTGCCGGTGACCCAGGAGTTCCTGTTTCCCCAGTGAGTCTACCATAGCCAACCAGCACTGGCTCTGTGAGAAGGGCCACTTTTCAAAGACGGCTGGGGGCTGAGGGGAGTAGAGCGGAAGGAAGGCAGTGGAACTGAAGAAAGGAGCAAGACAAATGTAGGTAAATTCCTCCCTCAAGTTTTGTTTATAGCAGAATGAGCCAAAATTTTATCTCCCAACTCCAGCCATCAATGAGGTATGGCTAAAATTGATACCAGTGAACTCCATCCAGTCCTATAACCAAGAGATGGGGTTTACCCAACAGAGAGATTTCCAGGGATAGAACTGAGACTCAAATCTTTTTTATTCCATCTGTCTGTCTGTCTGTCTGTCTGTCTATCTTTATTGAGATAGGGTCTTGCTATGTAGTCTAGGCTGGCTCAGACTCACAACTCTGCCTCAGCCTCCCAAAGTCTAGGATTACAGGCATATGCCACCATAGCTGGCTGAGGCATAAATATTGTTCTTTCTTGAGACAGAGTCTCACTATGTAGCCTGGTTGGCAGCCCAGCCTCAAACATAAAAATCTGCTTGCCTCTGTTTCTCAAGTCCTGGAATTAAAGGTGTGTATTATCACTGGGTTAAGACTTAGATACGTTTAAATCAGAATATGAGATCTTCTTTTTGTACATTATTAAAATAAGACCATGACATACAGAGAGAAACATGAATAAGACACTAAAGAGATTCATTTATTCATTTAACCAGTATCTACATGGATTCTATCATACATGCAGGCAGGGTGCTGGAGACACTGGAGAGGACAAGACACGGCTCTTGCCCTCTGGCATAGAGAAGGCAGAAGAAGACAAGAGAGTTGCAGCCTGTTGCAATGTTATCATTTGTTCTTAATATTCTTTCCCTGAAATTTTCCTTCACCTCTGAGGTTAAATAATAACTTACTAATATAATGAATGAGTAAGTTTGGGAGATATCAGGAATGTCTAAACTAAACATTTAAAAAATAATTCTCTATTATTATTGTTGTTGTTTTGTTTTTTGTTGTTGTTGGGTTTTTTGTTTGTTTGTTTTTTGTTTCTTTTTGTTTTTTGAGTCAGGGTTTCTCTGTATAGCCCTGGCTGTCCTGGAACTCACTCTGTAGACCAGACTGGCCTCGAACTCAGAAATCTGCCTGCCTCTGCCTCCCAAGTGCTGGGATTAAAGGCGTGCACCACCACTGCCCTGCTGTTGTTTTGTTTTTCAAGGCAGGGTTTCTCTGTGCAACTGTCCTGGAACTCCTCTTATAGACCAAGCTGGCTTCCAACTTACTGAGCTCTGCTTGCCTCTGCCTCCCAAGTGCTGGGATTAAAGGCCTGTGCCACAGCCTGTCTTTAAAAGAAATTTTAAGAGAAAGTAACATACAGAGTTAAAACTTAAAAGAAATTTTACTTCATTGGGTAGCAATTTAACTTATCTTTAACTTACCCATTTAACTCTAAGTTAGGAAACAGTGGAGAACAGCTTCAGTTTGGGGGCTGAGACTGTGGCTTATGACAGAGTGCTTGCCTAGCATGTATGAGCCTAGCCCTGGGTGCCATTCCATTACTGACAAAGAGATGTAAGCTTTCACATACCTTGAGGGGGTCTCATTCCACCTGCAACAGGAAACATGAAGCTGAAAGCAGAATACAAATACATCAGTATCTTCATCTTTAGAAGATTTCAAACAAAGTCCAATTCTTACACAAATCAAAGAGTTAGACAGAGCCTGGCATCAGTTCAGTAGTACAGAGATGATTTATTAATATATTAAAAATTTACATGTGTGTTTGCCTGCATGTTTGCTTGTGTATTGCATGCATGCCTGGTGTCAATGGAGGCCAGAAAAGGGCATTGAATCCCTTAGAACTAGAGTTTCAAATGCTTGTGAGTTGTCATGTGGGTGCTGGGAACTAAATCCAGGTCTTTTGTAAGAGAAGCAAATGTTCTTAAATGCTGAGCCATCTCTCCAGCTCCAGAATTATTAATATTAATAAAGATTAAATTTCCTCTTTTTTTTTTTTCCGAGACAAGGTTTCTTTGTGTAGCCCTGGTTGTCATGGAACTCATTCTGTAGACCAGGCTGGACTTGAACTCAGAAATCCTTTGCCTTTGCCTCCCAGGTGCTAGGATTAAAGGTATGCGCCACCACTGCCTGGCATGAAGGGAACTTTTGAAGGGGGTTATGTGAGATAGAAAACAGAAGGCCCTGACACTAAGTCCTGCCTCTGTCACCTTGTGATCTCCCTGAACTTCAATTTCTCCATCTACAAAATGATGGAGAATTTATGTCCGTTCAGTAAACATTTAATGAGCATCTACTACATAAAAGGGCTGAAGCAGCTTACAATCTTGAGTACACAGGTGCAGGCAAATCATTGTACCACAGGGTAAGTGTGCCAACTGTTTAATCAAGGTCCAAATACTAAGAGCTCAGAAAACAATGATTAATTTTTAGGTTATTGGAAGTACTGCCAGTGCTCTTATGCACAGAACCATCTGCCATATATAAATATACACACACACATATATATACACACATATACACATATCTAATATATAATGTATAATATAAATTACATATTATATGTAACACACATATGTTTTATATATGTTATATATAAAATGTTAGTTTAACTATGTTATATATAAAGTTTTAGTTTAATGAAAATTAGGTTTAACTAAAATTAACTAAAACACAAATAACATATATTGTATATATAACATATATATATATTTACAATTTATTTATATATAATATGTTACACACACACACAGATGGGTGTGAAATGGTATGCCACTGTGGCTTAGATGTGTGTGACATCTCTGCTATCAGACATTCTGAGAAGAACAGCATGCCACAGAGTACTTTTTTTGGGGAGGGTACTTTAATGGCAGTATATGGAAAGACTTGAAGTAAGAACTGGCCAAGAAGATACCACAACGTTCTTAGTGAGTGGTGTAAAAGGAGTGCTGAACAAGGCAGGAGGGATGGGAAGGAAGTGGGCAGGAGCTATGAAAAGCAAAGACTGGAGAGAACTGGTAGCTGCCAGGATGGGGAACAGTGGGAACACAGAGAACACAGAGGAGGACGCTGACTGGACATCTGCAAGGACTGGGCTGCTCTGTGCTGGCTGTGGAAGCCCAGCGCACAGGCCTGGAGAGAAAGGTGCTGGAGGTGAGACTCAGAAGAGCAACCCAACAGGCAATTAGAAATGTTACTCAAGCTGGGTACGCCGGTGCATATCTACAGTCTCAGCACTCAGGAGGCAGAGGCAGGTGGATCCCAATGAGAACTCAAAGCCAGCCTGGTTTACATAGTGAGTTCTAGAACAGCCAGGGCTATGTAGAAAGACCTTGTCGAAAGAAAGGAAGGAAGGAAGGGAGGGAGGGAGGGAGGAAGGGAGGGAGGAAAGGAGGGAGGGAGGGAGGGAAAGAAATGTTACTCAAACTTAGAAGACCTGGAAAAATCCAGTACTTGAGATAAATCTTTTAAATTAAGGTTATAAACAACAACAAACCAACCACTGAATGCATAATACAAGCAAGGAAGTTGGCGCATGTGTGTAGCAAGAGGTCACTACAGGCAACCTTGCAGAGTCTCACTCTGGAAACCGAGGGGAGAATGGCTGCTGAGGCAGGGAGCAGCTCAGAACTGAATTAAAGAAAGTAGCTGCCAGTGTCTACTGCTCAGAGAAGCTTGTCCAGAAGATGAGGGAAAAAAGCCACCACCTTGAAAATGATGGTCTTCCAGTGGGTGGTTTCAGCCAGCAAAGGGAAGAAAACATGGCATCCTTACTGACAGGGAAAACTAGAGTTTTGAAGGAACAGGACTAACAAGTGAGAGGGAGCTGGTTTGAGGAACTGGTCCTTTTCGCTGAGACTGGAAAGGGGACAAATCAGGAAAGGGGGGAGGCTTTTTTTTAAATTATGTGTAGGGGTGTTTTGGCTGCATGTGCAGCTACACACCAGAAGTATGCAGTGCCCATGAAGGCCAAAAGAGGGTGTGAGATCCTGTGGCACTTACAACTGCTTACAAGCCAACACATGGGTCTAGGAATCAAACCCAATATCCCAGCAAGAGCAGCCAGTGCTCTTAACCACTGCCCCATCTCTTCAGCTCCAGAGAGGAAACCTCCTGGCTGGGAAAGTCTCTCAATTTCAGATTCCAAGATGCTCCTGAGAGGCTTTAGAGTAAGTTAGTAGGCACCAGAAAATGAATGTCAAATTCAGGAACTCTCGCTTTAAGAAAACAACAACAAAAAACCCTGAAGTCATCCTCCCACTCACAGGAAAAAAACCCTAAAATATCAGCTTTAGAGTCCATGGTTCTACAGTGTCTTAGTGTTTTGTTTTGTTCCTTTTAATGACAAAATGGTTTAGCATTCTAATCAGACATCCATCTGGCTTTTGTAGATGGGCTAGTTACTGGTGAATCCTGTGGCTGACAAGCAGGCCTAAAGAGTCAGCCCTTTTTAATAATATACAAGAATCAATAACAATCTCATGTTAACTGGGTTGTCTAAGACAAAACTTCTAGGCTCAAACCATCCCCCTGTCTTATCTCCTGATAGTAGGACTATGGGTGTGTGCCACCCTGCCATTCACTGGACAGTTCAAGGACAGTGCTGGTGATGGTTGGTTTTAAAAGACACTACTTAAACTTATCAAGATTGAAAAGCTCGGCAGCAAGGAATACAGTTAAGTAGGCCGTCAGTTGAGATTTTGCCAAACCTGCCTTAAAGATTCAAGTCACCAGTATGGTGGAGTGGCTTAGTAAAACTTGGAGTGAGTTCTATTCTCTTTTAGCCAGTGTAGTCCCCTTCTTACCCTACCTGTCTGCTCCCTCCCCTGTCAAGTGAGGACACAGAACCCAGCATTTGTCAAGGCCCCAAATTAAGGCAACCACAGAGACAAGATATAAGATGTATTACAGGGCTGGAGGGATGGTTAGTGAGCTGCTCTTGTGAGGGACCTGGGTTCAGTTCCCAGCATCCACATGGTTGCTCATGGTCACCCCTAACTCTATTTCCAGGGTATCTGTCACCCTCTTCTGAGGACACCAGGCATATGTATGGTGCACACATACAGGCAAAACCCACACACATTAATAAATATAAAATATGATTTAAAAATATCTGTTATAGATTTTAAAACCTACTTGAAAAATTAAACACATGTAAGAACAAAGCAACTGTACTGATGTGACTCTAGTAAAAATGTAACAACTCAATGTTGCTTAGTGATCCCTGCATTTTTATTACAAAATATTTAATAATTTAATGCTTTTCTTTTCCTTTGTGTTTCTGTGTCTGGACAGCCAAGGAAGCCAGAAGAGGGCATCAGATGCCCTGGAGCTGGACTTAAAGGCAGTTCTGAGCCTCCTCCCCCATGTGAGTGCTCATCTCTCTAGCCCCTACCATTCTCTTTTGTTACATTTAGTGTGTGTGTATGTGTGTGTGTGTAGCTGTCAGAGTGGAGGTGGAAGGACAGCCTGGGGGAGTTGGTTCTCTCCTTGTACTATGTGAGTCCCATTGTGCTTGGCAGCAAGCTCCACCCCCACGTAGGCCCGGACAACTAATTCTTAGACTGGCTAGACAAGCAGCTAAGACGCCCCGATAAGCAGGAAGATGCTGATAAGACAGCTAAGCATTCGGGAAGGTCGGGGATGGGGTGGGTTCAAATGAACTGAGCTTCCAAGAATCTGATTTGAAGGGACAAACGCTAACTGCTAAATGCTGCCAAGTCTCAGGCCCGGAGCTCTGCTTGTTACAAGCCTTTTGCTACTAACCTACATTAGCTACGGGCTTTCGTGTCTCAGGCCTGGGCTCCTAAACAGTCTTCTCAATGGATCTCCTCAGCCTCAGGCTCTGCTTTCTGATACTGGTGAGAGGCAAATTCAGTAAAGATCCTGTCAGGAGATGCACACCCCAGCTTAAACCAGTACGATTCCTCTGTGGGTCAGAGCTCTGGTTCCCTCTCATGGCCTTTTGGATAGAGCATACTTTCTGTTTCTTTTTTATCACATCAAACTCTCCTTTCCATCCAAGAGCAGCCGATCCAGCACTGCAGATGTGTTCTTCCCACAGCATTTGCCAGTCCCCAACTCTCTCACTCCCCTAATGACAATCTCAACTCCTTCCCCTCCTCCTGGTGCAGATGAAAATCAACCTCACTATTGTGCATTTTGGTGGAACTCACAAATACTTCATGCCAGGATAGGCAAGAAGCAGCAGAGGATGGAGAGACAAAAAGTACCCACAGAGCTTGTAAGAGAGCAGGGCAGGGAGGCAGAGTACTAAGGTTACTTTGTGAACAATCTGAGCACTGGGGCCTGTCTTGAGTTTTTTTGATTCCATTAGGGCAGTGGTTCTCAGCATTCCTAATGTGGTGACCCTTTAATACAGTTCTTTGCATGGAGGTGACCCCCAACCATAAAATTATTTTACTGCTACTTCATAACTGTAATTTTGCTACTGCTATGAATCACAATGTAACTAGCTGATTTGTGACCCCTAAGAGGGGTCAGGACCCACAGGTTGAGAATTTCCATATCAAGACTAATGATACTTAGCTCTGTGTAGTGGAGTTTGCAAACCTAGCATTAGTAAGATTGAGATAGTCAGATCACAA